ATCATCATTCAATTTCTTTTTCTGTTTGAGTTATTTAAAGTTTTTGATTCTCATTCTGTTAATTCGGGGTTTATACACTAATAGAAATAGTCATCCATTTAAGTTACCAGTTTTATTGGCATATATAGTTAGGTAAAATGGCTTCCAATAACTTACTTTTTTTCTTCATTTGTTGTGAATTCTTAGTTTTTCTTTTTGATACTAGTAACTTGATTTGACTACTTAAAATAAACAAGCACTACACAAATATCTGGAAACCTATGTTTCATTAGAACTAGATAGTGCTCTTAAGAACTGGACAGTGCTTTTAAGAGCACTGGTCTTTATTAGGATGATACCAACAACAATCTCTCCAGGCCTTTCAGAGTTTTTCCCAATGCATTATTAATGATACTTTCAAATACTATTCTGCCTCTTACCCTCTCCACCACCACCAAAGTTACTACTTCTCCCCTCACTTCCCACTGAGGACACTATTTCCTGAACACTTGCTATTGCAGTGTCTCTAAACTGTCTTATTTCTTTTCTGAGTAAATTAAGATGGCCATGACAGGCAGTTTGAGGTAATAGAAAGAATCTTTTTTTCTCTAAAGCTCTCACATTGAATTGTGTTGGTTAAAATGTTATTTAATTAAAAAAACAATGTTTATTTAGGCCTTTTGTATTTTTCTCACCTGTTCTATGTCCTAAATTATCCTTATGGCTCAAAATATTTATTTCCTGAGATTATTAAGTTAAAACCATAAGGAAATTCAGAATGAAAGACATGTCAACCAAATTCAAACTCCCAGTTTTCTGAAATCAGAGCAGTGATGACAAATAATAATAAAAGCAGCTTGTTGCCTCAATATTAAGAAAATTTTATGTGAATTTTTCTTTCTAGAGAACCACAGATATTAGTATTTAATATTCTCTCATTCTCAACAAATCTAATCCAATCCAACAAGCATTTATTTAGTACCTATGTATTAAAAGGCACTGTTTTAGAGATACAAAGAAAAAAATGAAATAGTCCCTGTACCCAAGAAGGTTACATTCTACTGGGGTATCCAACATGTATTCAATATACCACACATAGCACAATCAATATACATTTTATGTCATACATTGTACTATGCATTGGGGGCACAAAAAGAGGTAAAAGATAGTTTTACCCTGGCATGACATAGTAAGCACTTAATTTATCTACATTTATCTATATCTATCTATTTAGATAAACATATAAGCTAATATAAAGATATAAAAAGCATTAATAACTGAGGGGATTAGGAAAGGTTTGTTGTAGGATGTGACACCTGAGCTCAGCCTTAAAAAAAGCTGGGAATTATAAGAAGCTGAGGTGAGAAGGAATTGTATTGTAATGAAAGCCTGTGCAAAGGGACAGAGGAGGGTGTGGGATGTTGAGTTCCAGGAACTACTAGTAAGCCATTTTGTCTAGAATGTAGAGCACTTCAGTGAGAGTATTATAAAATAAGTCTGGAGACAAACTGTGGCAAGCTTGTATTTTATCCTAGAGGTAACAGGGAGCCACTGACAATTTTTTAGCAGGGGGAGTGACATTAGACCTGTGTCTGAGTAACACTAATTCTTCAGCTGTATGGAGGATGGATTGGGGGGGGGGGAAGAGGAATAGCTAACGTGCTGACTCACACAGTAAGGATCTAAAAACATTTCAATAGGTTAAAATAATGAATGGTACATAACAAAATGAAATTTAATACAGATAAATGTAAACACTTAGACTTGGATTGAAAAAATATCAGTATCTCAAGTCAGATAGTAAAAGCATGGTTAGACAGCAGACTGTCTAAAAAGATCTGGGGGTTTTGGTGGACTGCAAGTTTAATACGAATCAGCAGTATGATGTGGCAAAATGAACCATTAAAGAGATGGTTAGAGAACATCTCAAAAAGGAAGTAGTAATTACAAAATGCTTTCATGGTTCATGAAGAGCAGGTCATGACAGACTAATCTTATTTCCTTTTTTGACAAAGTTATTAAGCTAGTAGATTAAGGAAATGCTGAAGTTCAGCTAGATTTTAGCAAAGCAGAACTTCATATTATTCTTGTGGAAAATATGGAGATATAATGGATGAAATAACAATTTTATTAGACAGACTTAGAATTGGATGGCTAATCTCAAAGAGTAGTCTTAAATAGTTTAATGTCACTTGGACCAAAGATCTCCACTGGGTGGCAAAGGAACCTGTGGTTTGCCTTGTATATTTGTATTTATTTTATTTATTTAAACAAAGGCACAGATGGCACGGTTATCAAAATTGCAGGTGACACAAAGCTGGGCAAAATAGCTAACACAATGGGTGACAGTATCCAAAAGGATCATGCCAATCTGGAGATTTGGGATGAATCTAATAGGATGAAATTCAAAAGGTACAAATCTGAAAATTTTACATCTAGGTTCAAAAGAATCAACTTTACAAGTATGGGATGGGTAAGCCACAGTTAGATAGTAGTCTGTCTGAAAATTACCTGAGGCTTACAGCATGCTGTTAGTTCAAAATGAGTCAGGAGTGAGATGTAGCAGCAGGGAAAAAAAAGAAAATATGATCTTGAGTCACATAATAATAACTAGCATTTGTATAACTCATGTCATCTGCCAGGCACTGTGCCATGTGCCTTACAAATACCTTATTTGATCCTCACAACAACTTTAAGTGATAGGTTCTGTTATTATTTCCATTTTATGAGAAAACTGAGGCAAAAGAAAGTTAAGTGACTTGTGCAAGATCAAATACCTAATAAACGTCTGAGGCTGGATTTGAGCTCAGGCTTTTCTGACTCTAAGTCCTTGCTCTATCCAATGTACCACCTAGCTGCCTTGTAATCAGATACATAGATTTCAGGAATAAAAACTTTATCCCCTTTCTATACACTGACATGGTCAGCCTGCACCTGGAAGTATTATGATCATTTCTGAGCAATATAATTTAAAGGCCTCAATAAACAGGAGAGCGTCAGAGGAGAGCAAACAAGAAGATGAAGAGCCTCAAGTATGTGTCATGTGAGAATGACTTTAAAGAAGTGGTATTGTTTAGCCTGGTAAGAGAAGACTGAAGTATCTGAAGGAATATTTAGCCTGAAAAAGAGAAGACTTGTTGAGGAAATATTAAAGCTGTTTTCAAATATGTGAAGGATTGTCATATGGAAGAGGCATTAGATTTCTGTTTGGCTCTAGCAGCCTGCACTAGAAGCCTAGGTAGAAATTGTAAAGAGGCATACATGAACAACATAAAGTAAAGCTTTTTAACAACTAGAGTAATTTGAAAGTGAAATGATTTGCCTTAGGAATTATATGCTTTGGGGAATCCACTGAAGGGTTGGAACCAAAAAGTAATGATTATTGGTCTGATGAAGTAGCTAGTGTGCAGAGTGCTCAATTTGGTCTCAGTAAGACCTCAGTTCAAATCTTGACTCAGACCCTTATCAGCTACATCACCCTGGACAAGTTATTTAACCTGTGCCTCAGTTTCTTCACCTGTAAAATAAGGAAGTTTGACTTGATGGCCTCTAAGGTTTCTTCTGGCTCTAAGGCTATGACCTTTTGTCAACTTGGAAGAAATTCTGCAGTGGAGTGGTACCAGGGTATTGTTTGTCCCTGGGTAGTTTGACATTTTTTATCAGTGACTTGGATAAAGGCATACATGTGAACAAATCTCAAATGTGTAAACTGCACAAAACTAGGAGGGGTGCTAACATATTGGATGATAGAGTCAGGATCCAATATTTAAAGGATTATCATGTGGAAGAGTAATGATTAATTACTTGTTCTGTTTGGATTTAGATGGTAGAACAGGTAGTAATTGGTAGAAATAGCCAGGAGACAAATGTAGGCTTTGATGTAAGGAAAAATTTTGTAATAGAAATATCCAAAGTTGGAATAGGCTTCTTTGGGAAGCCATGGGATTGCCTTCATTGGAGGTAACAAGTTATCTCCAACAAACAAAAGTTGGAATGATCACTAGTCTAATATGTTATGTATAATAATGAAGACTCCTTTCAGATCTGATAGCCTCTGACTTTCTCTCCAATTATTTAATTCAGTGATTCTTGTAGGAGCTTCCCTCTAACTTCAAGAAAAGTCTGAATAACTACTTTTCAATAAAATTATTCTATCCTAGTGGTACCTAAAATTCTTAGTATCAGACTCTTCAAGTAGCCTCTCTTTTCACATTCCTCTAATTACAACAGCATCATTAACTCCCTTGCACAAGTATCTCAAGGTTCTGCAGCTGTGAACTTTTCCAGGGACTCTAGCTTTTGAAATTCATTCTTCTTTTTTTGATTTTCATCACTATTTATATAAGTTTTGCTATTTAGTAGCAGTCAAAGGCATTCATTCTTTTTTCAACAACAATTTCATGTAGTAGAAAGGAAGCCCAAGACCTTGGACGAGTCACTCAGGGCCTCAATTTCCAGATATATAAAATGTAGCTCTAAATTGTAATTGGTCTGTTAACACTTTTTTGTCTCATTTGAGGTTGACAGAGTTAAAGCCATTAACCGAGAGACTTCTTGGGGTGAGGGGTGGAAGGGAAATCCCGACTCGCTAGTAAAAAAGATGATCTCTACTATCTTCTGATACTGAAGTTACTCATATTACTTTGCACCGACTCTCCCGTTGTCGCCCTAGGCTAGACACGGCGTCCTGCTTTTGAATCCTCAGTCACGGAACTGGGAGGCCTTTAAGGGATAAGTACTTATGCGATGTAGGCCTCTTTCTGTTGATGTCAACTAAAAATGGCTAGTCTGGGGGTTTCGTTCTCTCTCGTGGGGACTTTAACCGCCAGCTCAGTCTCGGAGGGACTTCCCAGTCAAAAGAAAGGTGTCAGCTTGTATATTTCACGGTTACTATCCGCTTCCCCTTAGGGCAGGTGGGGCGGGCTGGAGGGGGCGCATGCGCACGCATGCTCCCCGCCGGTAACAGGCAGGTCGGCCTCTTCCTTCCGCGCAGACGCCGCGCGCGAGAAGGCGGTGAAGGGGCAGGGCCTGTGAGCCCGCGGTTTCCCGGGGCGACGGGGGCGGAGGCGGCAGGAAGGCCGAGCTGCGGTTGGCCGCCGCGGAATGGACACGCTAGGGGTGGAGCCGGAGGAAGAGGAGGACGAGGACGAGGAAGAAGAGGACGAGGAGGAGGACGCTATGGACCCTCAGCTCTTAGGGGCGGCCGGAGGCTCCCTGAGAGTCACGGGGCCCCTGGAGGCCGTCCGCCTCGCACCGTGTAAATGACATGAGAGCAGCCGCGGGGAGTCGGGGAGGGCCTCGGCCGGCTCCGAGCTAGGGGTAGAGCAGGAGGCCGGGGCCGGGGCCCGAGGGCCGAGGACTGCGCCCCCCCCCCCTTGGCTCTGCTTTTAGTCCTTTGCTGGCGTCGTCCTGGCCCCGAGGAGGGCAGGAGTGAGCCCCAGAGCTGCGGGGATGTCCAGTGTAGCCCAGAGCCCTGAAAGGTTAAGGGTCACTTTGCCCCCCACGTGTCAGGCCAGCAAGGGCGCATTTCAAAAAACTTTTTTTTAAACTTGTTTAAAAAAAAAGTAAGAAAACGAGACATAAAAGGGCCTCCCACCAAGTTCAAGGTTTGAGAAATCCCGCCCAATGGCAAGCCCTCCCACCCCTTACACGCGGGAGCTGGTGGGCGGCCAGCGTGGCTCTGGGAGGGAGAGGATGAGGTGGGTCCTACGGGTGAAAGCTCAGCGAGGGGCCGTGCTGGCGGCAGCTCTCCCCTCCCCCGGGACCCCTGGGGAGGTCCTTTTCCCAGCCAACGTTACCCGCCCAGGGCTTCGCTCACCGAACCAGAAGGGCCTGTGGATTGTCAAGATCTGGCTGTGTTGTGGCTTGGGGTAGCTCAGGATGGGTCTTATCCAAATAGCAGGTGCAGCCTCGCCTTGGCTCTTATCACTCCAATGCCTCAGAGCTTTCAAGTCTGGTAACAGAGATGTTAAGCTCTTTAAAACACACAGCTTTTGTTCCTTTGCCATTTGGAGTTCTGATGTTACCACTTGGGCCAAGTATAGTGAAGTTTGTAAGGAATCAGGTTCACTTAGTTCCTTGGAGGGTATTGTTTGGATCACTTTGTATTTCTTCCAAGGGGATATTTACTGTTAATGTCTAAAGTGTTAGTTAACCTGCTTTTTCATTTATTGGGTAAAATCAAATTGATTTTTTTTTCAGAAGTAAGCAGTTGTACTGAAAAATAGAAAATGCATAGATGTCAAGTAAAGGGTTTTGTTTTTTTTAATCCATTGGAGCGTTCTAAATTCTTTAATTCAGCTGCCTGGCTTATGGGATAAGTCAGGAGAAGATGCAAAACTCTTGTGCCTGATACAACCCCACTTTTGTCATTTACCGTCACTTACCACTACCCTACCATGTTAGCATAGATTAAGGAGTGAAAATATTTTGCATTTCTTTGCATGTGGTGCAGCAGTTCATGGCCAAGTTGTGCCGGCAGGAAGCTCTTCCTACAGAGTCATAGTACACGTGGATCTGGATTGCTTTTATGCACAAGTAGAAATGATCTCTCATCCAGAATTAAAAGGCAAACCTTTAGGTATTTCTGGGCTTATATATTTTCTTTCCCTTTTTTATATTTAAGGATTAAATCTGTTAGAATTGCTTTTTTGTTGTTATTATGTTCCATTCCATTTTACTCAGCTCAGTATTATAAAACTTTAAAAGTGGTTCCTGTACTGTAATAAATATTAATGAGGGGATATAGATTTTATAATCATTTTATAAATGGATCATCTGAAGCAAAGACAGCATGAAATTTATATGAGGGTATGAACATTTGTCAGTGCAAAAGCAATAAATAGCTTAGTTTTATTTCTGGATTGACCTTCAGGCCTAGCTGGTACTTTCTATTTGCATTCATAAGTCAATTACTTGAATTTGGGTTTCCCATCCTAAAAAGTGAGAATAACAACTAGCACTGTTATTTTGAGGTTGATGTGATCTGTAGTTGTTCAGCAAATTTTTATTAAGTGTCTTATGTGTCTAATCACTATTAGGTCCTAAGACAGATAAAAAATGAAACAGCATGCTCTTCAGATTTCTTGTGGGGAAGAAATAATTCCTGATAAATACAGGTATTATTGCCACTATTCTCATCACCAGAAGGTTGGTCACTAGATGGTGAATTTTTTTGGCCGTGGCAACTCTTTCGTGGCCAAAAATATAAAATGGCCCTCAGCCTTTTTCTTCTATATATCCTTTTCTTCTATAGTGTCTAAAAGGGGGAGATAGAGGATGCTCAAAATTAATCAGTACTTAGACCATATGCAAATGTTGAAATTTTGTTTAAATGATTTTTAAAAACAAATTTGGTTTAAGGAATAGAGTTTTTTACAGTATCAAAGTCGTTGTCATCAACAGTCATTTATTGAATGGGGCTAAGTCCTGTGCTAGTCGCTGAGGGTATAAAACAGTATGAAAAGCACAATCCTTGTACTTGAAGTTCAGGATATTTGCACTTTTAAAAATTAACAACACAGGTAGCATTGTTTAATTAATGGAGTAGATAAACACAAGACTAAATAGTTGAAACCAGAAAAATTTGGTTCAGATTTTGGCTTTGTCATTCTCTAGGTGTGTGACCTTATTTAGTCAAGTTATTTTCTCATTAACTTCATTTCTTCATCAAATAAGAAGGTTGGACTTGAGCAAACAGTTCTTAGACATTTTGGTCTTAGGACTCCTTTATATTCTTAAAAATGATTGAGGACCCCAAAGAGCTTTTATGTGGGTTCTATCTGTTGATACTGTATTAGAAATTAAAATGTCTAAGTATTATAATGGGAATAGTTTTGGATTTGTGGACCCCCTGAACACTACCTCCAACGTTCACAGGACCACAGTTAGAGGAATTGATTGTTAAAAGTTTTGGCTCTGACTGGGTATAATTCTAAGTTCACGATGTAGGCAAAAAGCTCTTCAGGAATAAGTAGAAGTTTTGTGTAAGATAAAGGCAGTGCAGAGCCAGTCATTACAACTGGGGAATTGAATTTCTTGGAGGGAAGAGAATAAGCATTTATGTAGCACCTGCTATGTGCCACACACTATGCTGAATGCTTTATAAGTTCTTCTTTCATTTCATCCTCACAATACCATTGGAAAGTAGGTGCTGTTATTATCCCTATTGTATAGTGGAGAAAGCTAGCAGGCAGAGGTTAATTGACTTGCCCAGGATTACCTAGCTGTCAAGTTCCTGAGGCTAGATTTGAATTCAAGTCTTCCTGAAATTAGGCCCAGAATTCCACTATGCCACCAGCTGGGTCTTGTATATGAACATAATTGTTACTTAATATTTGAATAGAACTTGCTGGATTTTGTAAAGTACTTTACTGGTAGAAGGTGTTTAATAAATATTTGTTAAATTCATGAATGAGAATGAGTTCTTCAGAGTAGAACTTGTAGAATTCCATAAGCATACTCTAGAAAGATATACTTTAGGCAACTGTAAAATTCCGTTTTAAACCTTATAAAATGATGCATATTAAATTATGATCAACTGTCATTTTTTTGTGATCCTCAAGCAAATTGTTTTAAACGAGTTCATAAGAACTTTGTAGTGAACTTTTGAAGCTGAAGAATGACTAGTCATTACTCTTGGGGAAAATAAAGGAATTAAATAATATGTTTTGCTTTAAATTGCTGTGCTTCATCCTACTTTAATCTTTCGTAAATTGCTACCTAGGCAAAGTAGCTTGTTTTTATCATTGAAAGTTTAGGAATAACTTAGCTCCAGTTATTTTCTACAACATAATTTATTTCTGAAAATGGTGCCCTGGCTGAAATATTTCATATAAAACTTACATAGCCTTCAGAAAATTGGTAGAACTGAATTTTTAATATGATATGCTGCTGATTGTAATTTCTTCTCATCTTTTGCTTACTCTTGGCCTGTAACTCTTCTTGAATACCTTACCTTTGCTGTATAGTCCAACAAAGAAGCAATTCCAACAAATCAGGATTAAATGGGGGTATCACTAATAATTATGACAAGCTAGTACTTGAAATAGAAAACTCTCTTATGCAGTGTCAAAATGTTCAAAAGATGAAAGTGATTTTTTACTAGCAGCAACTAGCAATTAATTTTGTTTGACAGTTCTTCCAGTTCTGAACATTTTTAATAGAGCATAGCCTGTGATTATTAGTTAAGAGTAAAGTTAATTCCATCTCTGTACCATCTGAGAAAATATTAGAGATCTTTTCTTCAGATTTCACCAAAGAAAACTCCCCCAGAAAAAGCTGGCTTTTGGTCATAGACTGTTAAGAGACCCCCCCAAATATAGAACAAATTACCCCACTCATCTGTGAAATGGATTCACCTATTAGTGTTTTGTGGTTTATATTATAATGCATGTGAGTATGGTGCACTTTATACTATTTTAAGTCAGTATGTTATAGTATCTAAAGGGAGGCAGTATAGTGAAATGGGTAGAGAGCTGTCTTTGAAGCCAGGAAAACTTATCTCTGAAAGGTACTGTCTGTGTGATCCTGAAAAGTTACTAAATTTCTCAGTGCTAAGACTTTAATTATGAGAGAAAAGGTGCTGACTTGCATGATAGAGGTAGTTTTTTCACCTTTGTGTTTTCTATATATACCAATGAAATAACAGTATTCCTGTCCCTCTCTAATTCTTGATAACAGGTACAGAGTTTTAACTAACTCAAGCTCTAATTTTCTCTGAAACATTACACCCAAAGATTATGATTAGCTAGTAAGAATTCAGTTTGGACATTTAATACGGAATTTTTTTCAAATATTTTGGTACCTTAAAAACCTTTATGAGTAGTTAACAGCTTGAGATACTAGTGTTTCTGTTTCTTACAATTTTACTAATGAAAATAGGTAATATTTCTAAATTAAGCACTTAGAGATTTTTGTTACAAAATGTTTTGCATTATAATGTATTATTAAAAAATATAATTTTTTAAAAATGTTAACAGGTGATTCACTTCCATCTTGCTGAATTTTCCCCTAACACTGTTTTCCCCATAGGTGTTCAGCAAAAATATTTGGTTGTCACCTGTAACTATGAAGCCAGGAAGCTTGGAGTTAAAAAACTGATGTCTGTGAGAGATGCAAAAGAAAAGTGTCCACAGCTGGTGCTAGTTAATGGAGAAGACCTGACACGCTATAGAGAAATGTCATACAAGGTTACAGGTACAATTTATAGGCAAAGATGGTTCTCCAAATGTTTGTGAAATGGTATTATTTAGTTTTATTACATATATATGTGTGTGTGTGTGTATGTGTATATATATATATATATATATATACATACACACATATATATTTATATATATGATCATGATCTAACATGAAATCATATATGTATATGCATGTGATTTCATGTTAGATCATGCTAGTTATGTGTAGAAAGATATTTCCTAAATTTAAATCTGCATATTGGAGATATTGCTAACTGAGATTAATATAATAGGAATTTTGTCAGTGATTCTGAGATTTTCCTTACTGGTGCTTTACGAATATTAGTAGAGCAATGCCAAATAAAACAACTTAAAATAAAAACAATAAACTTAAAGCTATATATTTTGAGTTTTAAATAAAATAAATGTGACATTGTAAACATATGTGTATTTAAAATTAACCATAAAGAAATATTATATACTACTGTTACAGACAGTACTTAAAACAGTCTGCAAATGGTGATTAACTTCACTGATTTTTGAAAACCACTGAAATAAAATAAGTATCTAATTCTGAGGTTTTTTAATTTGTACTAAATCTAATTTAATGCAGCCCAAACCACCACATAATTAAAATTGAGCTGGCAGTATTTTAGTGATTGAAGAGAGAGAATGAGAAGCTGAAGGACAGACCAGTTGGTGCTAAAAGCTACCACATTTATTCATGTTTTCATAGCTCAGATTTTGAAAACAAAAGTATGTTCCTTATATCTCCTATTCTTCTGCTTTTTAAAATTTTTACTTTGAAATAGTAACTTCAGAGACTTTCAAAAATAAAGCACTCTGTAATTGCCAGGATTGACTGAGGAGGCAGCCCCTGCTAGGAGAAAGCAAATCAGTGCTCACTCCTTCATGGCTGTCAGCTCTTTTTCTCCCTTTTCCATCTCTGTCTTTTCCCTTCCCCTAAGCTGCTGGCATACCAGGGAAGCTTCATCCCTTTAGAGCAGGCCTGTACAACCTGTGGTCAGTGGGCTGCTTACAGCCCACAGGCATGCCAGAGGATTTGGGGTATCCTGCAAAAATTGTAGAGGATGTTTTCCTCTACATTTTTCGGGGCCACCTGAAATCCTTTGGTGGGCCACAGGTTGTGCAGGCCTGCTTTAGAGAAATGATTTGAAACTAAGTCCATCATTCTGAGAAAATGGTGATAAAAGACAATACCTTATGTAGATAGTTATCATGTTCAGCTTCTGATCCATTCCAGGGTATAGGGAGCTATTACTTTGGTGCTGTTTGAGAATGTAAGAGATTTACCGTATTCATCCACTCACAAATATTTACTGGAGTCCTACTACATATAGTAAAGAAGCTACTAGGGAAAGTGGGAATTTAGGTGAGTCCATACTTTTAAACCCAAAACCAAAAACAAAAAAGTATTCTCTGTTGTTTAGACTTTATTCTCCATGTATAAAGTCTTGTTCCTTTGTCATTTATAGATTGACTTTTTTGTGGTAAAAGGAAATTTTGTGTGTTCAGGCAAAAGGAAAAACTGCCCCCAAAAGCCTTAGGGTTATACTGGGACAACTGTATTCAAATGCTGTTTTTTGGTAACCATAAACATCAGGAACACAGCAGACAATGTGGAATTCAGTGAAAGTGAAAAAATAGCTGTCTCAAAACCCATGCATTTGGTTCCATGTTGTCATTCTCAGGCCTTTACCCAGACAACTATGTAAAAAAAAATACAGGTTAGAAGATTGGAGGATACATTCAGTAATGTAGTCTTATAGGAAGAGGTGAGCCTTTTCCTTGAGAAACCCCATTTCTTGTGCCATTGATCTTATCTTTTTCTCTGTCCTCTGGGATCTGGACCCTTACATTATTCTCTGTCTCTCCTGTCTGTCTGTCTGTCTGTCTCTCTCTCACTCACCCTCTCACCGTCTTATCCTTCCTCTCTCCGTATCTATTGGCTCATTCCTTGCTTCCAGCAAACGTGTCCATATGCTTAAAAAAAACACTTTACAAACTTTAAAGTGCCAAAGAAACATTAGTTACCGCTATTATCCTTAAAAACCAAACCAAAACAACAACAAAAAAATCTTTCACTTGATTGTCATCCCCCTGTATCTGTCCTAACTTTCCTGATTTCTTCAAGGCACCACTCAAATCCCATCTTCTATAGGAAGCTTTTCCTGTCCTTCCCCACTTGCCTAGTACCTTCCCTCTGAAATTGCCTTCCTTGTGTACTGTATATTTTTTATATGTACGTAGTTATTTGCATGTCTTCTCCATTAGAATGGAACTCCTTGAGGACAGAAACTTTATTTTTGCTTTTCTTTGTATTCCCAAAGTTGAACATGGTGCCTGACACATTACATTTAATACTTGTTAACCCATTAATTCCTTAATCACCAAACTCTTAACAGTGTATAATCACTCAAGCAAAAGTTATCATAAAGGAACTTGGATGACATAAACGGAACACACTAGCAGATTGCCCAGTTAGATTTAAAAAAAAAAAGAGAAAAAAGATGCTTATTTTTCCCTATGGATTCCTGAAAATTAGGGTATCCAATAATGAGAACCCTAGATGGGGAATTTTCTCTCCTTTGGGTTCTTATAAATTCAAAGGGCTGAAAAAATTTTGCCAGTTGAAGCCGATACATAACAACCTTTCTGGGGCTACAGGGTCATAGAATCACAGAATTTGTGAGTTGGAAGGGATGATCTAGTACAATCCACACTTGAAAGGAATATCTGCTATAACATGCCCAGCTAGTGGCCATCCAGCTTTTGCTTGAAGACCTTTGAGGAGAGGGAACCCAATAATCCAAAAGAGTTTTCAGACATGGGATACTTTAAGGCCTTTCCTCCCTTTGTAGAATTTGGGTGAAGGTCCTCTAAAGTCTTACTCTGCTTGTCAGTTCCTTTCTGGAGTCTATGACTGACACACTCCCTGAAGCTACCTCTGTCTTGAGCCTTTCTGTATCCATCTATAGCCATTTTCACTACTATCAACCATTATCACCCCTGGTCTCTTCTGCCACCGTTCAATTCTTATGGGATCTTTGCATCTCCCAAATTCACAACATCATTGCCTACACAGGTATGTATTGGAATACTTACCTAAGATTGAAGAAGAATAAACACAAACAAAGATGTCCATATGTTCACAGCTGCCATGTGGAAGGGGAGCAGGGCCTCTACCCCTTTCCTACCCCACTCTCAGGACTAGTTCAAAGTGGTCCTCACTTAAAGGAACATCAAGGAAAAAGAATTTTAAAAATTGCTAATCACTCTTTTTGTATGCTCATCCAGCTCAGCAACCTCTGAGTCAAAAGTTCTTTTAGCTCTGCAGCTAATTAGAAGATTCTTTATCATCACATAGTACCAACCGCTGAGTCATCCACATGGTAGCTGGGACTGAAACCAGGCAGGAAATAACTTCATATTTCAAGGACTGGTCTTCACAGACCAGCCCACCCATTCTATATGTACATGACAGTTTACAAAATGCTTTTCCTTTCAACAACCCTGTGAGGTAGATCATACAAATATTATTTTTAAGGGGATTAAAATTTTATGCACACATAGGTATTTAATCACTTTCATTTCTGAATATATCTTCCCATCTACCCAGCAAGCCATCCCTAGTAAGAAAGATCTTAAAAGAGTAAAAAAAGCATTTTAGGAAAACCAACTAACATGTGAACTATGTCTTAGATTAGATGCAATATATATTATAAATATGCATATATATGTGTGTGTGTGTGTGTGTGTATATATATATATGCACCCATAGTTCCCCACCTCTGCAAAGAAGTGAGTCAGGAGCGCAGATTTTATCATTACAATCAAACAGATAGGAAACCGAGCCCAAAATCAAGTGATTTCCCCATGGTAGTACAACTAATAGTGAACTGAGGTTTTAATACTTATAGGTTCTTGATTCCCTGGACCAAAAGTCTTGAAACTTGAAAGAAAAATCTTAAATGAAAATATACCACCTTTTGATTGCTTGCAAATGAGCATCTTTCCCCTGTCTTTCTGTTTCTTTCTTATAATTGTGTATCTTCATTTAAAATATTTATTGTTCTCAGTAATGATTGCTAAAAGCAGAAATGTTAGTAATTTAAGTTGCAATTATTTATTCTGGGTGGTCACTTCTTTACTAAGTGAGTGTTGGATTCTCAAAGATTAATGCAGGTTGCCAAGAATAATGTTGGAGTAGGATCTAGATGTTATCTTATCTTTTCCCCAGATACTGCCCTCCCCCCACCATTTCAGAGTCAATTATGGAGTGTGGAGAGGGGAAGATTACAAAAATCAATATGGCATTTTTCACTGAAGCAGTACAGATTCGAGTCTTAGTGACTTGTAGGAATCAGAAATACATGAGCACAGTTTCCCAATTTTGAGAATGCCTTATATAGTTACTAGTGGATTTTAGATTTTTTAATTATCCTTATACCATTTTCATGATGTAGTATCAGAGTGTAGATTCTTACTAATGAACTTAGCATATCAGCTTTGTACTGTGCGATAGTTTTGATCTTGGATACAGGAAAATCTGGGTTTAAATCTGGTTTTTGACACTTATTACATGTATCACCCACAGGCAATCACTTAACCTCTGTGTTTCTCAGACAGTTCCCAGGATTTACCTACTAAGTTATAGATAGATTGTGATCTGTGTTGGTGAAGAGAGTTTCTGTTGCATTAAGGAAATCAGAGCTCCTTCAAATGTCAGATATCCTTATCATCGAGCTGTTTATAACAAAAGTCCTTCCCTGATTAATGTTTTTTATCCTAAATCTTTATTTTTTTTATTAGGGTATGCCCCTTGATGTTATATTTGATTGTAAACTTCTATTGGACAGAGTCTCTTTAATGATATATGTACAATTAGATATGTAACAATTATTTTTTAATATTTTGTTAATAAAGGTGACTGCAATGATACTGAGACCCAGTTTTTCATTCTTATATTGTTACTTTTATAACATATATGTAATGTGTATAATATATAACATATATGTATATATATAACTTTTATAACATATGTGTGTATATGTATGTGTATATATATACACACATACACACATATATATAGATATAGATATAGATATATATAGATATAGATATATCTATATATAGATATATCGGTTTTACACTATAAATTTGACTCTTAATCACCAGGAGTAAACTTTGTAGAGATGTGAGCCAGCAAAAGAGGCATGTTTTATGGCCAGAAATACCTTCAGTCTCACCTCACAAACAGAAAAGTTCTCTAGATAGATTGAAACTGATCCTCATAATCATTAAGTCCTCTTGTTAGCTTTTTGAAAGTGATTTTCCTAGTATCGCCAAAGTTGGAATCCATAAAATATGAAGTATTTTTAGTATTTTCCTGATGAAGTAGTAATATGAGTAGAAGGAAATAACCTTTTTAATTTTTTAGATGATTAAACACAGGGAACCTAGGAATTGTCACACTGGCACAGACTAACAATTTATCTTTCTAATGTCCAGCTGTTTCTAATATAGGATGACTCAGGGAAAAGTGAAAATTCCTTTTCAATGCATTTAATTGTGCAGTCTCATTAGTGTGCATACACTGAGTCCCAAGGGGCAAGGAGTTTCACCTTAATGTATCAGATCTGACAGTTCTTTTGGATTTATCATTTTGAAGTGCAGTAGAACTTGACTAACTGGAATGCTTGAGTAATGGTGTATTTTGTTTACTCAGTTTTGCAGGTTAGCTCAGGGCTAACTAGAAGATCCTTTTCAATTCCTATTGAAAATCTTTTCTAAAATTTATTTGTCTACTTGCCTGATTTAGTAAGTAGAACTTAATTTTTCTTTGTTAATGAGGGATCTTCCAGCACCTCAGTCATATCATTTTAATATAGAAGAGTAGTAGATTGGGTTAAATATGTTCTGACCTTAAGATCTACCCTTGAAATTACATTTATTACTAAATCCCTGGAGTAAACTTTCTTTTACTGGAAGTTTTTAACATTTCTCAAAGTTAATTGGTCTTTGCATAACTTAAGTTTTATTACATTTTGAAATGACCCATTTTTTGTTTAACAAAATATATACATCATGTTGTTCAGGTTATTTTAAAATTGTGTAATTAAAATATATTATTTTAGCCTATTTTAGTTATAATTTCAGTTTACATATGCATTCTAATATTATTTCCCTTTAGAGTTATTGGAAGAATTCAGTCCAGTTGTTGAAAGACTGGGATTTGATGAAAATTTTGTGGATGTAACTCAGATGGTTGAGAAGAGACTGCATCAGCTACAAAGTGATGACTATTCTGTGTTGACTGTCTCTGGTCATGTTTACAATAATCAGTGTGAGTATTTTCCCATTTAGTAACTATTGAGAGTATTTTGTACCTTGTTACTTTGTTATACTGAAATTTTATGCCTTGGGAGCAATATTACTCTTTATAGTTAAGGTAACCCACACAGTTAAGAATCTTTCTGGGGTATTTAGTCCCTACATTAAAAGTTGGATAGCTTAGCAAATATTACTGATATATGGAATAGTCATTACAGCTAGGCGTGACAACCCTACTACTATTGAGTCTTTTCAATACTGTTTTCAAAAGTTACCTACTGCTTCTCATATAACTTCAAAAGAGTTAACACCTTCAGGAGAGTTCTTTTTCATTTCCCCTCACCGTATCATTCCCACACCATGCCTGACTAAAAGCAGAATTTCAGAGTAGATTAAGTTTGTCTTTGGTTTCCTTCTACTTTTTTTTCTGAGACTTTGTCTAGTCTCCTAATAACACCTCTTCCCCAAATATATGTTCTTTCATATTTCTTTATGCTCAAAGTCTCACATTTTAACAGTAGTTCATTTCAGCCTGCCTTCCCTGCAGGAAAGTGGTAGGGATCTTTAAGTATTTGAAGGGCTGTCATATCATTAGACTTTTTTGAGAGTGATCTCAAAGGACAGAATTAAGAGCAAAGGGTATAAGATGCAAAGTGAACTTGATTAACTGCATGTAAGGAAACCAGAGCTCTCCAATATGGAATGGGATGCCTCAGAAGATGGGTTTGCCATTAGTAGCGGCCTTCACTGTGGTAGTAACTTATACTGTTTATTCATTTTGGCTTGGTAGCCAACTATAAGCCCTAGATATTTTACATGTAGACTGGTGCTAAACATTGTATTTCCCATCCTGCTTTTGAACCCAAGAGCAAGTTTTTGCATCTTGTTATTTTAATCATTTTTACATCTTAGTTGACCTTTCATCTTGTTAGTTTGCCATTTCTAAATTATTGTGATGTTTCTGAATCTTGATATTTGTTACTGTTCTTAGCTTTCTGTCATCTATTGCTGGTGAACATTAATATGTTTTTGACAGGTCAGGGCCAATTCATTCACCTAGATGTTTTGTTGTTGTTCAGTTGTGCCCAATATTTCATGACCCCATAGTTGTCCATGGGATTTTCTTGGCGAAGATACTGGACTGGTTTGCCATTTTCTTCTCTAATGGATTAAGGCAAACAGAAGTTAAGTGACTTGCCCGGGGTCACACAGCTAGTAAGTGTCTGATGCTGAACTTGAACTCAAGTCTTTTTGACTTTAGGCCCAGCACTCTATCTGCTGAGTCACCTAGCTGCCTCCTGTACCTAGCTGTGAATCTACCTAAGTATCAGCCAGCCCTGTCAGCTTTAGAATCCACTCTCCCGCCCATTCCCTTCTGGTCTGGGAAGGAATGGCTAGCTGTAATAGAAGGGCCAGGTCAGACAAAATAATCCATATTTATTAATCTTTTCTACAAGGATAACCTCTCAGTTTAGTCTTTATTATAATTATTATCATCAGTTCTGATCTGTAGGTGGAATTATCATAAAAAATTAGTGAAGTTTGATATGACTTGTTTTTAGTGAACTCATGATAGCTCTGCTTTCTTTTTTAAGTGACCACAATTCATCTGTTTTATACATTCTCAAATTTTGCTGCTGACATCAGACTATAGTTTCAAGACCCCATTTTTTTCCTTATTCAAAATAATTGCTTATCATTTGGCACCATCCTCATCTTTTGCCATCACTCAAAAATTACCAAAAATTGTTCTGGAATCATATCTGAAAGGTCTTTTAATTCATTAGGATATATTTTTCTGTGCTTGTTAATTTGAATTAAAATGCATAGGTGTGTACTATCCAACTTTATATTTCAATTACCTCTTAGCCATATCTGTTTTACTTGTTCCTATTTGGAAGAGAAACAGAAACAAAATAAAGAGTTGTTTTGCTTTCTCTTGTCTCACCCTTGAGGAAGACCTAGAATTCCCTTGTTAGTTGTCTGAAACACCATAGCTACTAAAATGCCCTTTTAAAAATTGTTTTTAGCATTTATCACAAGGCTAAGTTCATTTTCGGCTTTAACCTTCCTGACATTAATTTTATAGGACCATGCCAGTGTTAGTATTTGTCCTTGGTTTGTGTAGCCCTCCTTACTATCTTTTATATGTAAAATTTCACATTTAAACTCACTGTTGAGTTCTTGTACAGTTAAATTAGTCTCTTTAAACCTTTCCTTTTGTCTCTTTATTAGTATTATTTGTAATTGTAATGTTAGAACTTTATTGTTTGTAGCCAACTTTCTTTCTTTTAGAAACCTCCATTAAAAACTCTGGCCATACAATTTTACCTCTCTTTTCTTTGAACTTTTTTGAAACTTGGTTTCCTAAAATTTGACTATGCCTAGTATTTCTTTTCCTAAATCTTATGAGGTTAACTTCTCTCAGTATTTTCACCACTTCTTTCTCAGTAACCAGTTATTGTGTTTTCTTCAGCATTAAGGTAGAGAGTAGCAGTAACCTCAACTTTTCCTTCTCCAAGGCAAGAATTTATGAGATGCTTTTTGCGTATTTTTTGCATGATTTACTTATTCTGTTTCCTTTAAAGCTCAATTTTCCAGATGTCTAGTTTAGGTAATTTTGAAAAGAACTATAGTAAACAGTTCATTTTTAATGTGTATTTTTAAAGTTAAATTTATATTGATTGTAGTTATATTTAGAGGTGAATGCTAGTGAAATTTCTATTAGTGCTGATAGTAGTTTTTTATAAGAGGGAGGTAAAATCTTTTTATTATTTTTCATACTCATTGAATGTGTATTGTAATTTTGTCACACTAATTATCAAAAATGATAAATAAGGTATTTCAAATTATCAAGTATAACACAATTTTTAAAATTATGTTATGTAGAGAAAGCATAAGGCTACAGCTAATTGCATACCATATACATTTTCATAGAAGGTTTTCATAAGAATACTTTTTAATCCACAGTCATTTATTATTTTTAAATTAAATTAACATTTTTAGTTATATTTTAAGTTCCAAATTATCTCTCTCTCTCTCCTCCCACACTGTACTAGAGAAAGTCACCATTTCATACAGTGTGTGTGTGTGTGTGTGTGTGTGTGTGTGTGTGTGTAAAACCACACTGTGCATATTTTTATTTATCATTTCTTTTTCTGAAGGTAGATAGCATCTTCCTCAATATGTCTTTTGTAGTTGATTTGAATATTTATAATGCTCGGAATAGTTTAGTTCACAGTTGTTCTTTGAACAATATTACTGTTACTATATCCAACATTTCTTGATTCAGCTTTCATTTCACTCTTCATTATTTCATGCAAGTCTTATCATGCTTTTCTAAAATCAACTAGCTCATCATTTTTTACAACACAGTAGTATTCCGTTACAGCCATGTACCATGACTTGTTTAGCCATTCCCCAATTGATGGACATCCCTCGCTTTCCAGTTCTTTGCCACGACAAAGAGAGCTGCTATAAATATTTTAGAACGTACAGATTCTTCTCCTTTTTCCCTGATCAACTTGGGAAACAGAACTAATAGTGGTATTGCTGGGTTAAAGGGTATACACAGTTTTATAATTATTTGGGCATTGGGCATAATCCCAGATTGCCCTCCAAAATAGTTGGGTCAGTTCACAGTTCCACCAACAGTGTATTAATGTCCCAATTTTTCCACATCCCCTCCAACATTTGTCATTTCCCCTCCCCCCCATCATTTTAGCAAGTCTGACAGTTGTGAGAGGATATCTCAAGTTGTTTTAATTTGCATTTCTCTAATCAATAATGATTTAGAGTATTTTTTCATATGACTATATATAAGTTTGATTTCTTCATTCAGACATTTCCTATTCATATCCTTTGACCATTTGTCAGTTGGGGAATGACTCATATTCTTATAAAATGTGATGAAATTCCCTGTGTATTTGAGGTATGAGACCTTTATCCAAGAAACTGTCTGTAAAAATGTTTTCCCAGTTTTCTACTTTCCTATTAATTTTGACTACATTGGTTTTATGTGCACAAATCCTTTTAATTTTAATATAATCAAAATTATCCATTTTCTATCTCAGTGCTTTGTATCTGTTCTTTATTCATAAATTCTTCTCCTGTCTATAAGTCTGATAAATAATATGTTCCGTGTTCTTCTAATTTATTTGTGATACCTCCCTTTTATATCTAAGTCATATCCATTTTGACCTTATCTTGGTAAGTGGTATAAGATATTGATGTATACCAAGTTTCTGTCAGACTGCTTTCCAGTTTTTCCAACAATTTTTACCAAAGAGTGAATTTTTTTTTCTTTTGTTTGGTGAGGCAATTGGAATTAAGTGACTTGCCCAGGGTCACACAGCTAGTAAGTGTTAAGTGTCTAAGGCTGAAATTGAACTCAGGTCCTTGTGACTCCAAAGCCAGAGCTCTATCTGTGGTGCCATCTAGGTGCCCCAAGAGTGAATTCTTATCCCAGAAGCTTAAATCCTTACATCTGTCAAGCACAAGAATCTTTTACTACTATATATTGTATAGCTTCTCTTTCCTACTGATCCACCTTTCTTTTTCTTAACTAATACCAGTTTTGATAATTACTGCTGTACAATACAGTTCAAGATCTGGTACTGCTAAACCTTCATCATTTACATTTTTTTTCATTCCTTTGATGTTCTTGATCCTTTTGCTCTTCCTAATGAATTTTGTTTTTATTTTTTCTAGCTCAATAAAATAATTTTTTGATAATTTAATTGAGAGGGCATTAAATAAATATATTAGGTTAGGTAGATTGTCATTTTTATTGTTTTGGCTCTGCCCACCCATGAACAATTAATATTTCTCCAGTTATTTAAATCTGACTTTATTTGTGTAAAAAATGTTTTATAATTATATTCATATAGGTACTGTATTTGTTTTGACAGGTATGCTCCCATGTATTTTATGCTATCTGTGGTTATTTTAAATGGAATATATCTTACTATCTCTTCTTGCAGGGTTTTGTTGGATATAGAAATGCTAAAGATTTATGTGGTTTTGTTTTATATCCTACTACTTTGCTAAAATTATTCATTGTTTCCACTAGCTTTTTAGTTGAATTGCTAGGATTTTCCAAGTATGTCTTCATGTTGTCTGCAGAAAGAGATAGTTTTATTGCCTCGTTACCCATTCTGATTCCTTCAATATCTTTTTCTTCTCTTATTGCTATTGCTAGCATTTCTAATACAGTATTGAATAATATTGGTGATAATGGGCATCCTTGTTTCACCCCCTGATCTTTTGGGGAAGCTTCTAGCTTATCCCCATTACAAATAATGCTTACTTGTGATTTTAGGTAGATGCTTTTTATCATTAAGGAAAAATCCTTTTATATCTATGCTTTCAAGTATTATTAATAGGAATGAGTATTGTATTTTGTCAAAAGCTTTTTCTTCATCTATTAATATAATCATAAGATTTTTTGTTAGCTTTGATATTGATAAAAATCAGTTATATTAGTAGTTTTCCTTATGTTAAGCCATCCCTTCATTAATCTTTGTGATATATTGTTATAGTCTCCTAGCTAGTATTTTATTTACCAATTTTGCATCCATATTTGTTAATGAAATTGGTCTATAATTTTCTTTCTTTGTTGCTTTTCCTGATTGAGGTATCAACACCATATTTGTTTCATAAAAGAAGCTTAGCAGGATTCCTTCTTTGCCTGTTATTCTAAATAATTTATTTAATATTGGAATGAATTGAATAATATTGGATATTGGATAATATTGAATTGATCTTTAAGTGTTTGGTAGAATTCACTTGTAAATCCCTATGTTCCCAATGTAGGAAGCTCATTTATAGTCTGCTCAATTTCTTTTTTCTTAAATAAGTTTATTTAGATATTCTGTTTCCTCTTTTGTTAACCTAGGCAGTTTATATTTTTGTAAGTATTTTTCCATTTTGCTAAAATTGTTAAATTTATTGACATATAATTGGGCAAAATAACTCCTAATAATTGTTTTAATTTTATCTTCATTAGTGGTATATTCCACCTTTTCATTTTTGATACTAGTGATTTGGTTTTCTTTTCTCATTTTTTAAATCATATTAACCAATGGTTTATCTCAGCAATTACTTATTGAATATCCATAGAATATATTCACAATGTTGCAGGTTCTTGAAATCAGATGATAATATTACTCTTTGGCTTATAACAACTCTATGAGCAACAGAGAAAATAAGACAAAATGTGTGGCAGTATGAGGGCAAAAATGTAGACTGTATAGGGGAGATGACTTCCCATTCCCCTTCTAGCTCTTTATTTAACATTTAACCATGTTATGTTGTTTTTTATAGCTGTAAACTTGAATGACGTTTTGCACTTGAGATTACTCATTGGATCTCAGATTGCGGCAGAGATGAGAGAAGCTATATTTAATCAGCTGGGTCTCACAGGCTGTGCTGGAGTAGCTTCGAATAAACTGTTGTCCAAATTAGTCTCTGGCACCTTTAAACCAAATCAACAAACAGTGTTAATGCCTGAAAGTTCTCAAGATCTCATTGGTAGTTTGGACCACATAAAGCAAATGCCTGGTAAGAAAGATGGGCTTTTAAAGTATTTACTTTATTTGTATTTTGTTGCTTTTGAATCTTTTCGGAAATAACAGTGTATTCCATGCATGTATTAGGATTCTTGTTCACTTAGGAAAAAAAAGTAAGTAAACCTCCAATTTCAGCCCATGTTAAATACATAGGAAATGTGGGGATAATTTCTAAACTCATTGCTATGTATACTTTTTTTGGGGGGGGGCCCTAGGCAATGGGGTTAAGTGACTTGCCCAGGGTCACACAGTTAGTAAGTGTCAAGTATCTAAGGTTAGATTTGAACTCAGGTCCTCCTGATTCCAGAGCCAGTGCTCTATCCATTGTGCCACCTAGCTGCCCCCTATGTATACTTTTATATGGTCAATAAAAGTATTAGCATAAAATTAATTATAAACAAGAAGTATAATGTAATTTAGTTAAATTTAGTCATGTCTAGACTCTTCTCCATTCCCTCAGAGAGGAGTAGGAGACTGTCTTCTGACTCTGTTTTGCTCTGTTTTTTCAGAAGGTTAAATGGTTAAATCATTTAGTATTAGTAACTCCACATAATGGCTGTAATAACAACACATTGTTGGAGAGTGAAGTTAAAAGATTTTTTGATGAAAATTGTTCTAATAAACACTTCTCTACCCTCAAATTAACATAATTTAAACTTTTTTTTAGCATCTTCACAGGGTGAGGATCAAATGAGATAATATTTGTAGTGTTTAGCACAGTGCCTGGCACATAGTAGGTATTATGTAAACACTTATTCCTTTCCTCCATTCCCCCTTCCCATCTTCATTATAAGAATGATCAGAATATAGTGATATCTTTAGGGCTTATTGAAGTGGTGTATAGAACTCTTTGCTCCCAAATTAAATGGCTACAGCCTGCTACATTTTTCGAATTCTTGGGCCTGCTTTTTACATTTATGTGTCCTGCTCCACCTTGATTACTTTTAGCTTGTGTGTCCCCAGCAGTCTTTCTTTCTCATTCACTAGTTCTGAATGGGTTGATAAAACAAATAAACAAGCTTTATTAAAATTTGGCTTAAGAGTAAGATTCTAAATAAGGGCAGAAGGTGTTTTTCTTAAAGTAAAGTGAATAAGCTTCAGAGTTTCAATTCAGTGACATTTATTTTGTTTATTTTAAGGCCTTTTGTGTTTACATCCTGGAACTTATTTGTTTCCTAGATATTTTATTGTTGTTCGGTCATTTTTCAGTCATGTCCAGCCCTTCATGACCCCATTTGGGGTTTTCTTGGCAAAGATACTGGAGTGGTTTGCTGTTTCCTTCTCCAGCTCATTTTACAGATGAGGAACTGAGACAAATAGGATTAAGTGACTTGTCTGAGACCAGATTTGAACTCAGGAAGAAGAGTCTTCCTGACTCCAAGCCCAGCACTCAGTCAACTGCGCCCCCTAGCTTCCCTCTAGATATTTAGTAATACCAGATATATATGACTGTATGATCATATAGTTAGAATGAGAAGAGACCTCAGAGATCATCTGCTGTAATGGTTGTCAAATGTGCTCCAAGGACCCCGGGGATCACTGAGACCCTTTCATGGGGTTCATGAGTTTAAAACTGTTTTCATAAACATAATACTAATGTTATTTTTCTACTAAAACAGTCCTCCCTTTTCCATCTGCATAACTTTGTGAGGCCAGAGTTTTTTCACATACTTCAACCAGAGCATCATTTGCCACAAATAGAATACAAGAGCAGATAAGAGAGTCCACATGGCTTCTATTAAGTCAGACATGCAAAAATATGTGAAACAATGCCACTCTTCTCATTAATTTTTTGTTTTGAAAAATGTGGTTATTTTCACAAAAAAAACCCATGCTATTTGTGTTTACATGAAGTGGGTTTATTATTTTAAGTGAATTTATAAGTATTTTTAAAATTATAAGTTTTAATATCTAATATGATAAATATTGCTACATAACAACACACATAAACAAAAGCTGTTTGAGGTCCTCAGTAATTTTTTTTTTTTGCTTTTTTGGTGAGGCAGTCAGGGTTAAGTGACTTGCCCAGGGTTGCACAGCTAGTAAGTGTCAAGTGTCTGAGGTTGGATTTGAACTGAGGTCCTTCTCACTCCAAGGCCGGAGCTCTATCCACCGTGCTACTTAGGTGCCCCAGTCCTCTGCAGTTTTTAAGAATGTAAAGGGATACTGAAATTAAAAAAATTTTGAAAACCACTGATATACTGAAACCTCCTAACTTGAGATAAGAAAAGTAAGACCTGTAGAGGGTTGTAGGCTAACTAGTTAACTGAGGGCAACTAGCTAACTAAGTGGCAGGGCTGGAATTCAATACCAGGTGTTCTCATTACAAATCCATTGCTCTTTTCTACTGTACCATGATGGTTTCCAAGGCTTCTAGATAAATGAGGTGTTTACTGTACTTAATAATTATAGTGGATAAATACAGATCATTCTTATTTGTGTGAAAGCCAACATGGTGTAATGGAATGAGTGATTAATTTGGAAATGTGGGATTGTATCCTGCTTCCAGCACTCATGCTATGACTCTAAGTATGCTGCCTAAACTCAGAGCCTGTTACTGCATCTGTAAAATGGTTAATAAATTTATTTAATGCCTCTTTCCCAGGGTTATTATGAAAATCAAATGAGAAACTGCATAAACCCCTTTTTTAAACTTGAGTTCTTATTTGTATTACTTTAGTATCAGATATTCTAATTAAATTCTCTATTGAGAAATAGAGAAAAAAAATAGAGGCCTATATCAGATTGCGCGCTGTCTTGAGGAGGGAGGTAGGGAGGGAAAGAGAGGAAAAGTTAAAATTCAAAAGGTTATGGAAGTGATTGTTGACAAATCAAAATAAATTAATTTTAAAAAACAGAGGCAACTGATGGCTCAGTGGATAGAGCACTAGGCCTAGAATCAAGAAGACCTGAGTTCAAATCTAGTCTCAGAACACTTCCTAGCTGTGTGACCCTGGGCAAGTTAAATAACCTCTGATTGCCTGACAAAAGGATCCACTGGATCTATTGGAGAAGGAAATGGCAAACCCCTCTAGTGTCTTTGCCCAGAAAACCCCATGGACCATGGGGTCATGGAGAATCAGACACAACTGAATGACTGAACAACAACAAATCTGAAAAATACCTGTGAATTGCTGACATCTTCAGTGTTATTTAAAATAAGATGAAGGTTTCATTTCTTTTAACAAACATTAAACAATAACAGTTATGATAGTGCTGTGCTGGGCTCTGGTAGGGAAACAATATATATAATCCCTGTTTTCTAGAACTACAGCCTACTTCAGAATGAGTTTGGTCTTTGAAAATTTCTGTACTAAAATTAAAAAGCTTAGATGATTGCTTATTAATCCTTGTTAATTTTATTTACATGTGAAATACTGCATTCATTCATCTTTTTCTTATTACCTAGGTATTGGCTATAAAACTACCCAACGTCTTGAATCGTTGGGTATCAATAGTGTCCATGATCTCCAAACCTTTTCACCTGAAATACTAGAGAAAGAATTAGGAATTTCAGTTGCTCAGCGTATACAGAAGCTCAGCTTTGGAGAAGATAACTCCCCTGTGACTCCCTCAGGACCACCTCAGGTGAATGTTTCATGTAAAGTTCTATGCAACTTTTCAGAATGAAAGAAACAGTTTTGAATACTTTATTTATAGTCAATTAAAATTTTAAGATTTTTGGTGTGTCACAACTAAACTTTTCTAATTTGATTGGTTAACCCAGGAGTGGGGGACCTGTGGCCTTAAGGACACATGTGGCCTTCTAAGTCCTTAAGTGCGGCCTTTTGACTGAATTTGCATTCATTCCAATCCAAATTCAGTCAAAAGGCTGCACTTAAGGATTTAGAAGGTCACAAGTTCCCCACCCATGGGTTAACGAAACAATCCCTTCTTCATGAAATTATGATTTGTTGCATTAGATGAATAATTGTTTTAAAATCAAAGACAATTTAGGAAAGGGTTTACTATTTTACGTAACTAGTTTGAATAAAATGCAGCCAGTTTTCATGTGCACAGAAGACAAAATTAAGTTTTAAATTTCTATTCTTGTAATATAGCTTTGCTTAATTATACTGTACATTGTTGATGTTAAAGTATTTTTAAATTATCTAAAATCAATTTTATGCAGACATAGTGTTTTATAATAGATATGCTTAGAAGGTAAGATATTTCTTAGGAAGATGGGAACAACTGTGAAGGGTGACAGAAGTGTTGCTAAATTGATACATTTATCAAATGAAATAATAATTGTAAAACATTTAGCATGTATTGCCTGGCACATAGTAAGCACTATATAAATGTTAGCTCTTATTATTAGTATTCTATAAATATATATGTAGATAGATTTACACATTTATTTTAACTTATTCTTTTCAACTTCATAAAAGATTATGAGAAAGAATTTTTGCTGCAGTCAAATGAGTTCCATTGATAGACAAATTAAACAATAATTTTAATGTCCTAAAGGAAACTAAAAGGAAGAAGGATGAAAAAATCCACATTTACTGAATTGAAAAGGCAAAAATAACTAGGAGAAAAACATGTTGCTTAGTACAAAGATTAAATTATTAGCAGTGTAGCGTAAATGTTAAGAGTATGGACATTTGGGGAAACTATTACAATTCTTAATCTTTTCAACCACTTGCATGATGAAATCCTTAGGTAAATTCCTTTTTTGAGTGTGCCTTACCTGATTTTAATTCAGGCTTTGTTTTTTAATATTTAAACGTTCTTCAATTATTTATCTTCTGTTGTGTGGCAATCTTTATTCAATGTTAATTAACTCCATATCACATTGTCTAAAGTAGCATTCCAAACCAATCTTACTCTCTTCAGTCTGTAACTCACTCTTGACTTCTTCACTCTGCAGATAGCCTACTTTTCTGAATGAAGGCCATCTATCTACTTTGAAATTCCTTGACTTTCCTCACATTCTCTTTCTTCCTTCCTGTTTCAGATGAACCTTTCTTCCTAAGGTCTACTCCTTTTCTTTTCTCCAGTTCATTTCCTTCCCACCTTCAGTACCTTTCTTCATCATCCATACTCTTTCATGTGTCTCAAGTTGCTTTTATCCACTGACCTTATCCTTTATACCTATAAACGTGCTCAGGACTCCTCTAACTCCCCTAACTTTTCCTCACCTTCCTCATGTTACCCAGTCAATGCTCCTCCTTTCTTTCTTCATGCTAATCATACTCACTGTCTTATATATCCTCATCCTTTGACTTGCAAACTTCTTGAAGAACACTCTGTGCATCCCTCTCGTGCCTTCCTTAGATGCTTATCAGCTACTAGTTCCTCAATTCCATGCAGCTGCTTCATTTCCCACTACTCTACCGGACTTCTTGCATTACTGTTAACCTCCAAATTCAATGACATTTCTCATTTGTTATCTTTTGCCTCACAATTGCATTTAACAAAATTCACAACCTTTTTGCCCTCTCCTTCTCAGCTACTTCTGGAGTGACTCCAAAAAGTCTTTGTTGACTCCTTTCCTCCTCATGCCTTATCTTTTCCCAGGATTTTGTCCTTAGTCTGTTTCTCTTTCTCTTGGTAATCTCATTGACTCTTGGGGCTGTGGTAAATTAAACCCAGTGAATGACTTCCAAATCTCTATCTTCAGCTCAACCTCTGGACCTCAGTTTCAAACTTGCTATTTAAATTCAACATGTGTAACGTAAACTCATAGAATCATAGCACTGGAAAGGACCCTTAAAGGTTATCTAGCTCGTTGCCTACCCATAGTATAAGTCATTATTCGAACTGATTATCTTCATCTCCAAATTTATTCTTCTTCCTGACTTCTCTGTTTCTGTTAATGGGATTGCCATTCTTCTAGGCACTCTTGGTACCAATTTTTATTTGTTTCTTTCCCTTCTTTACCTTCCATGTTCATTTGGTTAAACTCAGCACACATCTTCTAAGTGCCTGGTCTGGGCAAGACATTGGGCATACAAAGATAAAACAAGACAATTGCTGATTCCAAGGAGCTTATATTCTACTAGTTGTGATTCAAGGGCTTTGTAGCACTGAAATAGCTCTTTAGGCCATCTTTGTTTGCCATTGCTACAGTCCTAATCCATATCACCTTAGCCAGTCTGTTACCAAAGCTGCTAAACTCATCTTCCCATCTGTGATTTCTTCCCCATTTAATTCTTCCTGTACACTATTTCAGATCAGTCTTACTGTATAGATGTGATTGTATCACTCTACACAGAGAAGTAATATGGCCTAGTGAAAAAAAAACCCTACAATACAACAGTGTTCTTGGATCTGAGTCCTGCCTGCCATTTACTAGCCATTTGACTGTATGTGTATCATTAACCTTCAAAGAGAGCCCAAGCTTTTAAGCTATAAAATGGATTTGTTCCACTTGTTTCACAGAATTATTTTGAGGAATAAACTGTGAAGGCTGTTATTATTATTGTTGCTCAAAAACCATCAGTGGCTCTCCTTTGCCCAAGGGTTACATTCCATACCTTACTGCTTGGCACTCGAGTCCCACTACAGAATGGCTCCAGCCTATCTTTCTGGTCTTACCTTACTCGCTTTCCTGTAATCTTTTTCTTCAGTTTTATTTAATCTCAGCTATTCCGCTGTTTATGTACATACCTTGTCTCCCCTGCTGGATTTTAAACTTCTTGTGATCATGGGACATGTATTTTATTGCCTTCAATCTCTATCATGTTTTCTGTTTAGTAGGCACTTAGTAAGTATTTATTGAATCAAGTTATGAGGTAAGATGGGAAGGATACCAGCATTTTCAATTTACTGGAATTTACATGGCATAGTGAAAAAAAACAAACAAACCCCACAATACAAGACTGTTCTTGGATCTGAGTCCTGCCTGCCATTTACTAACCATTTGACTGTATGCATATCATTAACCTTTCAAAGAGAGCCCAAGCTTTTAAGCTATAAAATAGATTTGTACCACTTATTTTGCAGGATTATTTTGAGAAATAAACTGTAAAGGTTGTTATTATTGTTGCTCAAAAACCATCAGTGGCTCTCCTTTGCCCGAGGGTTACATTCCATACCTTATTGCAAGTTATCTTAATTCACAGCAACTCTGGTATGAGGTAAGATGGGAAAGATACCATCAGATGGGAAAGATACCATCACCTTCATTTTACTGAAATTAAAGCAGAGCTTTCCTGAAGTCACAGTAGGTTTGGAGCTAACACTGGAGCCCCAGCATTCCAGGAAAATTCTAAAAGGCTGGTATTCTAGCACATCATCAAATCAGTCAACTTTCTTAAATACAATTCCAGAATGCTTTCCATAAGAGCATGTTACTCTTATTAAGGACACTAACTGGGTTAAAAAGACAGTGTTAAAAATATAACGAAATATAACTAAACCTAAGGAATTAGTAAAGTGTGGTAGATATTAGTAATGAATTTATGTAAGTGCCCTTATTTAGAAACATAGAATCCTAGATTTAGAGCTAGAAGATAACTTACAGACCATCTAGGTCAGTCCCTTATTATACAGATGAAGAAACTGCTATTTGGAAGTTTGACATGTGTTCTAATAGAAATTGTTTATCAGGGTGTGAAATAATCCTTTAATATTTGTGTATATTTTGGTAGTCCTTTAGTGAAGAAGATTCCTTTAAAAAGTGCTCATCAGAAGTGGAAGCTAAAAAAAAAATTGAAGAACTCCTTGCTAGTCTTTTGAACAGGTGATTTGCCTTCTTGCTGAGTTATCTTGTTTGTGTTATTCTATATACTGTACATTGAAAGGATAATTGATTTTTTTTATAAGCTGTAGATTAAGCTGGAGGCTAAAAATTAAGAGATAAATTAACTAAAATTTCTATGACGTACTAACAGGAATAATGATATATCCATTTTTATAAGGTTTTTTTTTTCTTTTTTTACTTCTGTAACTTAGAATTTAGTAACTTGGTGGCTACACCAAGGTTCTTAAAAGGACTAGTTCTCCTGAAGACTCCTTTGATCTGCTATTTGACAATAAGGAAGAACTTGAAATTTTTTCTGTGACAACTGCATTGTCCTTTCCTCCCTGAAACTAAAGTATCCGTGTTTGCTTTAGGAAAAGGGAAAAGGTTGAGTGGGGACTAGGATTTAGGGAAGTCAGGTCATTGAGCCTGCTGTAATCTAGCAGGGTCTTTTTCTAAATCTGTATTGGAAGAGGTATATTCTTAGGTTAAAGAGGAATTAAGAAGATGAATATACAGTGCTTTGAAGCTTATTCTTCCAGTTTATAGCTCCTCACTACCTTTTCTTAGACTGTTAATATTGTAAGATTATGATAAAAGAAGGAAATGGTTAACCTTGAGTGAAAAAGGTTATATGAAAGTTTGACTGAGAACGTGTAAGTATAAAAATATGAATTTATGAGTTGCTTTTGAGACCATAGGCTTGGCAAGTAAATTCAGCCTTCTGACCCATTTGCCATTAGATCCACTTCTGTATATTCTCTAGAAAATTGTTCTTTTCCCACCCCAACTTCCAATTCTCTGATTGGACTTTACTCTATTAGAGGGTTTTTAGGGTATAAACCACGGTAGTACTTTCTACTTTAGGACTTAAAGGAGAATCCAGCAACAAAGATAATCCTGTAGGTAAAGGCAGAGAGGCTATGATTGTAGATTCAGTTGAGAGTTGACTGTGAGTCCCAAAAGTAGAATTTCTCTGGTTTTCCTCACCACTTGAAGCAAGGCTTTCATCTGTTCAGCATAACCATGCAGCTTAGAGTGCTAGTCAGCTGAGGACAAATTAGCATGACCCAGCTCCAGTATTATGACTCACCCTGTTCCTAGGAAGACTTTTGTGGAATTGGGTCATGCAAATCTTTGTCTCCAGATCCGAGGTTATTCTGAACTCCCTAACTTTTATGAACAATTGTGTGTGGCAGAGAAACCACAGAAATACAGTTTTGCTATTGTCTCCCACTCACAGAACTGGCCATCGGCCATTTGCACAGAACTGGGGTTGCACATCTTGACCATGTGAAGATGCCTACCATCTATGGAAGAATTTTCTTTTTCATTCTGAACTTTGAACAAAAAATGAATACAACAAGCATTTCCACATTCATTGTGGAGCAGAAGGAGAGGATGGTACATAAAAGTGCAAATCTCTTTTATGTAAAGATCAGCAAATAGTTTCAATATATATAATTAAAGAAGTATGTTGAAAATTCACAGGTTTCTTGTGCTTCCTTTAAAAGGGGAAAATCTGGGGCAGCTAGGTGGCACAGTGGCTAGAGCCCAGGCCATGGAGTCAGGAGGACCTGAATTCAAATTCAGACACATAACACTTACTAGCTGTGTAACTTGGGGCAAGTCACAACCCCAATTGCCTCACCAAAAAAAAAAAAAAAAAGAAAAGGGAAAAATCTTAGGATAAATTCCTTAAAATAACAGTAGGTTTTTTCCTCTTTGAATCCTTCTGAAATCTAATGCTTTTTACAATGCTGAAGTATTTGATGATGAATATTATGCCAGATTGATTGTTTATAACATCATGTTTTTTCAGTTCTCATGACCTGGATAATTTAAAATTACTTCTGTCCTTAAACATGCAGAAGATTATTTCTTTAGTTAGTTTAATCTTTATTGAACACATTTAACTGTAAGATTAATTATTGATATGTTTATAGAAAAGAATAAAAATGTTATTCTGAGGAAACAAAGTCATACTTATTAGGAAATTCAGTGGAAAAGCAATTAAAGATAAATAGGTATTTCTTACACACTTCTGAGTGTTCTATTTAAGTCTCCAGTAGAAATGCTCAGTTTGAGCAAGTTTTTAAAAGTGGATACTATTCTTGTTCATTATGATTTGCTCATCATCTCTAGAAAACATGTCAAAGAGATTCAAATCTGTGTTTTGTAGAGTAGAGAGGAAAAAGTCATCATCAGTATTTTTCCCTCAGGAATGAGGTATTCTAATTAAATGTTTTCCAGTTAATTGAAATATATCCCTCTGAGTGCCAAATCTTTTTTTTTTGTTTTGACCATTTTTATTAGAACTCTTTCTAAAAAATACATTATACATTTACCTGCCTTCTTAAATTGAGTATAATGAACATAATTTAATCCTTTATTTATGAATCAGGGTCATTACTAGTATATTCTGTTTCTACAGCAATACCCCTAAAAGTATATAGGGCTATTTACATAGTGATTAACTAGCCCTAAAATAGTATGCTTTTTTGTATACCTGCTTTTAAAAATTCATTTGCTTCCTTCCTCATGAGGTGCTTTTTTCTCTGTCCTTGTCTTAGAGTGCATGCCAGCAGCAGTGCTACTTGACTGTCTTGCTTCTAATTTGCTGTAGGCTGGGAAAGCAGATAACCAAGCTTGTCAGAATTATTATGTAGAAATTAAGACTAAATAGATTCTGAGTTCGAGCTTGAGGGGCTGTCCTATGAGTATAAGGACTTTGTGATAATTATTATTTTCGTTGCTCTATGGTCTTTTTAATTTCCTCGTTCTTGGCTATATTGTAGACAGTTGCAGTTTCATAGTTAAGAAACTTGCAAAGTTAAATGAAGTGCTACTGTACCTTATTTGAAATTCCTAACTATTATGGTTCCTTATTTTCAGAGTATGCAAAGATGGAAGGAAGCCACATACAATAAGGCTAATCATCCGTCGGTTTTCATCTGACCGACATGTTAACCGTGAGAGTCGTCAGTGTCCTATCCCATCTCATGTAATTCAGAAGTTAGGGACAGGTGTGGGCTTATTTCATTGACTTCTTCATTTCTTTCTTTGTTGTGAATAGACTTTTGCATTTGCATTCCGTTTAATTTTGCTGAATTGAGAAATTCAGTAGTACAAACAATTAAATATTGAAGTAGAACTATGCTACAAGTACAGCCTGTTGCTATGCCTTTGTAGTCTCACAACTGAATCCCAGAGACCCATATAAACCACCTTTTCTTTAAATTTTAATTAAGAAATATCCTTAAAGATGTATTTGTTTTTAAACAAAAGAGTAAAAAAAGAGTAAAAATTTTTTAAAAAATTAAGGGCCTTTTCCATCCTTTTTTCTTATAGGTTCCTTTAGCAGTAGCAGTTTTTCTGACTCATTGCTTGGTCATTTCAGGACTCCAGAAGCTGACCCCAAAATATCAAATGTTTTTGTAGTGGTAGATTGTAGAAGAGAATTTTGGACAGGGATCAAGGGGAACCTTGTCATAAATGGCATCTAGGTCTAACCTATGCCAGGGGATAGGAAGTCTGTTTTCAAATGTGGAGAACTTGTAGACTAACTAAGAGCTTTAAACACTTACATTTTAGGAGTCTCTAAAATAAGCCAGATGTTAGAGGAAATACTCTCTGATGCAAAGAGCACTAGACTTGCAATCAGGAGATCTGTGTTCAAATCCTGCCGTGAGTAAGTAGGCTTCATGACCCTAGGCCAGTAACTTCACTAGTCAAAATCTTAGTTTCCTTACCTGAAAAACAAGAATAATAATAATTGTAATACCTACTTCTCAGGAGGATTGTGAGGTTGTGACATGGTTGCAAGAAAAGCAGTTTGTAAGCCTGCCATTGTTACAATATTCAATACTGTTATGTATGAAAATCATCTAGCAGCTCTCTTGGCTTTCGTATCCTCCCTTGAAGCCTTTTTACCTTCCAAGTATCTTAGAAAGATTTAATGATAAGCCTTATTCATTAGATTCCCTGCTGTCATCTTTAGATATGGGCTAGTTTTGCTCCCAAGATGATCAATATAAAGGATAGCAGTGGTATCAGTGGGGAATCAAAGCAAGGTAAACAGTTGTTACAGGAATGAGGGGACTACCACTCTTCCCCATCAATAATGATGATAATAGTGGATATTGATACAATATTTTTACCATTTTGCAGAATTCTTTGAGATATGCATTATTTTTTTGGACTCTCACAACAACCCTGTGAGTCAGATACCACAGGGGTTGTTATCATTGTCTTACAGGGAAGGAACCTGAGGTTCAGAAAGTCTAAATGACTAAATTGGAAAGTGGGGGTTGTGCCACCAGCCCACTTTTCCCTAGAAAATGTCAAGCTAATTATTTTCTCTTTTTCAGATAATGAGACTTAAGCACAAGGCAGTTAAAAAGGCTTTACCAATTCAGAGGGGTCAGAATTGCTTATTCTTTGGCACTGCATCACTTCTAATTTCTTTTATAGTCATAACCTTAGCTTGTTATAAAAAAATTTTTAAATCTTTTTTTTTCTTTTATTAAACCTGCTGAACCTCTTGGCAATTTTAGGATTAAATACTACTTGTAATCCATTTGGCTTTCCATGTTATTGTAAAATACCTCAATTATATGTATCCTAGGTTTTATTTTCTTGATTTTATCAGTGCTTTAAATCTGTCTTATTTATAATTAAGCTCTTGATTCTAACAGTTCATGTAAATGCATTTATTTTTCTTACATCTTTTAAATAATTCATTTAGGAAATTATGATGTTATGACCCCAATGGTTGATATAATTATGAAACTATTTCGAAATATGGTAAACGTGAAGATGCCATTTCATCTTACCCTTCTAAGTGTGTGCTTCTCCAATCTCAAATCACTACCTACATCTAAGAAAGGATCTATCGAATTTTATTTAACACCTTCATCATCAACAACTTCACACTCTGGCAAACGCACTTATGTAAGTGCAGGGTTTGGGGAAATAACTAGATTGTTTAGATTGTGTGTTTAAGGTCACAAGAGTCCCACTCGTACTGTGTGCTGCTTTCTGTGGGTCAGGTTTTTATTCATTTATATTCCCAGTTGTTACTGTTTTATTAGAGTCTTTTGTTCATATGATTTTGACATTAAATATTCATCTGATCTAGAAATGGAACACTTATACCATTAATTAAAACAGCTGAATGGTTTCTTTTGTTGATCATATACATTGTGTAATATAAACAGTAGAGAAACTTGGAATTTTGGAAGTAGAAATAAGTTTTCAGATTGTATTGGGTATTATGAAACAGGCTTAAAAAATCAAAAACTCAAGGCCTTTTCATTTTCATTTCCATAGAAGAAGGCAAATGAATTTTCATGAAAATGCTTCAATTACTTATCCTGACATTTTATTGAGCTCTAACAGCAGCATTTATATATAGATTGTATAGCTCGGCTGTTGAGTGACACTCATATCAAAAGTAAACTATAGTAGAAGCTGGCAAAAGTCAGTGATATTTTCAGATGATTAAAAAATACAACAATCATTTGTTGGCTATGATAACCAAAAATAGAATGACTAACAAAAACACTATTTTAAACTATATGATTCACATCTAGAATAAGGCTGTCAATTTACTTCTTAATTTGCAGTAATTTATTTTTAATTGTAAATGTTACTGAAACTATTTTAAAATATTAATTTGTAATTTTAAAATGAAAACAAACATCTAATTAGGATGTTAAAGTCTGTTTTATCAAATAATATTTATTGATGTGATGAGCTTGTGCCAGTTATAAATTTAAAAAATAATAGTGATATAAGTAATATCTAGTTGCTTATGTGCTATTATGGTGCTAGAGACAATAAATAAGAAAAATTCAGTGAGATTATATGGATAACTTTTAAGACAAGATTAAAAAAAATTCTTAGCTGAAGTTCCATAGAATATAAATTTTTTAAATTATGGTTATATATTGATAATAGTGTTTTATAAATATCATAGTAATGATTTTTCTTATCTGGTGTGTCTGTTATTCTTCAGAGTAGTAATTTTCTCAAATAACTGTCCTTATTGCACTGTGCAGCAATTTATCTTTAAAGTAACTTTGGACAAATAACTTAATTTCCCTGGGTCTCAGTTTCATCATCTATAAAATGAAGGGGTTAGACTTACTGTGCTATCTCTAAGGCTCCTTATAGCGCTAAAATTTTGGTTTTAGCCAGGCATGTTTAGTTTGTAACATTAGCAATTCACCTACCTGGGATGATAGGTCATGAAGCATAGGGTTAGTGAGGTGAGAACCACATGATGTTAGAACTAGATTGCTGTGGTTTAATCATACTTACTTGAAACTAATCACAGGAAGTTTTGAAGCCTATTGGGGGAAAAGTGCATGCTCCCAGATAAATATCTAGAGTAATGTATTAATTCACGTATTAACATGGACAGACACATCCTAGCATGAGCATGGATGTGTCAATGGATGTGTCATTGGCAGTTTATCTATGAGATCATATATTTATATTTAAAATTTTTTTGTGTTCTAGAAATTGAAAGATACTCATATGGAAGAATTTTCACAAGACAAGGAAACAAACTGGGATGTTCTACCAAGTGGAAGAATTGAAAGCATAAAAACTGGAGAGTCTCCATTAGATACTGCAAATTTTACTAAAGAAAAAGAAATTCATGATTTTTCATTTCACTCACTTCCTGAGGGTATTGACCATGAAGTCTTTAAGCAGCTTCCAGTAGATATTCAAGAAGAAATCCTTTCTGGCAAAACTAGAGAAAAAATTCAAGGAAAGGGAAGTTTGAGTTGTCCATTACATTCCTCCAAAGGAGTGTTATCTTTCTTTTCTTCGAAACAAATGCATGACATCGTTTCAAATCCCAGAGATCATTTATCCAATAGTAAACAGTTAGCCTCTATATCTACCAGTGAACCAGGTACATCAGGCTTAAGTAGCACTGGTTCCACTTACCTGTTTAGCCGAAAGGATTCTCCTCACTATTTAGACAGTGAGCTGAGAGATGAAAGAATGAGTCAAGGACCTAAAGAATCCCAAGGATTCCATTTTTCAAATACAAACCCTGCTGTGTCTATATTCCATTCTTTCCCAAACTTACAAAGTCAGCAACTCTTTTCCAGAAGTCACACTGCAGATAGCCATAAGCAGCTTACAGGCTCAGTTTCTCAGCATCTCAGTCTTACAGAAAACAGAGAGCAAGAATCTACAGAGGAGGAAATTACTTTTCCTTCTGGTATTGACCCTGCAGTTTTTTTTGAATTACCAGAAGATGTTCAAAAAGAACTTTTGGCTGAGTGGAAAAGAACAGGATCCTCCTTCCAAACTGTACATGAATAAGCATGATGGAAAAAAATCTAAAAATATGCCAAGCAAATAGCAAAAACATTATGTTCCCCTCAGTCTAACAGCTTATTAAGGTGTTTGATATTAAACTGTTTATTAGGTATTCAATAATGTAGAAATCTGACTAATATGAAACATTTCAGCTAAAGCATAAACAGCAGAAGGGAGGTAAACTCTTACATAAAGCATAAAAGTGTTCGTATCAGAAGTAATAATGTAAAATATTACCTTCCTCTCATTTTTAAGCTATTTTATATTGAAGATTTCCAATAAAAAAAATCATGGTCAGCATTGGTACATATTCCATAAATTTGGGAAATGTATGCATGCATATATAAATTTAAAATTTCCACATAATGCTGAACTATAGGAAGTTAAAGAATAACAATAAATGTTTCCTTTTTGAAATTTGAAATAGCCCAAGAACCTCAGCTGAGAGGTATGAAAATATGAAAAACTTTAGTTTCAGCCAACTTATAAAAACATTGACTTTGCCTCAGGTAGATAACATTCCATAATATAAGCTAACAACAAAATATTCAGGTTTAATGGATGGTTCCAGTCACTATGTGTTCTAATAGTTCAACTAGCTTTTATTGGCTGGGGTGGGAGGGACAGGTGGGTGCAGGAAGGTGAAGACTCCATAGGAAAAAATTAAGGGTATACTGGCATTAGGACTTCAGTGTACAAGGTGGGGTTGTCATAAGAGCTCTTATTTTGACCCAGATGGTAAGTAAGGGAGATTTTAGCTTGCCATTTTTATACAGGCCTGTGGGGAATAGATGTGATATTTCTACAGCTTTTGTTGCATATTTGAAGCTGGAACTCCTTGCCATCAAATATGAGAAAATTATTATTTTCGTCTTAGTTATTATTATCTCCAACCTCCCCTTCCAGGTCAAAAATTGGGAGAGTAATGTCACCCCATGCTTGTAACATAACTGTGTCTTTGTAACATGTCAGAGTATCCTGGAACACTGGTTAGGGAACTGATGTTTAAGGATATGGTGGAGATACAGAAGCATTGACAAGCATGGCCTGTCTTAAGGAATTTATAGTCTATGTGGAAATAATCTATAGAAAAAACTTGAGATTGTTTACAAGGCAATATGCATACAAGTGAGTACAAGAAAGATTCTAATGTCTTTCTTCCATTTAAGAGCTCATAACTTTGTGTGTGGACTCCTTAGATTTTAAGGAGTCAGTGGTTACTGAAGGCCTTTTCCCTTTATGACCCAAAGGAAAATTATAGCACAAATATTTTGAAGGCAGCTAAAATGAAATTTATAGCAGGAATGATAAAGGTGTCTCAACATCTTGTAACTATTGGAAGCTCTGCTACAGATGCCCTTTATTTAAAACATTTTTTAAAAATTCTCTAAATGCTAAAAGTTCTCTACAGTTAAACTCATCAGAGAGGCTCATAGAAGACATAACTTCTCTCAGATAATTTCCTTTTTGATATTCAAGTAATCAGTCACTTTGGATGATTTCAGGGTTTAACAACATTGTTAAGCTATCTAAAGTATATTGACCTAAACTTTTAGTTGTGGCACAAGTGATAAACGTAGCACGTGAGATATACTTGACTAATCGTTATCAACTATCAATCAATCATATGTCGTGGTGAGTAGAATTAGCTTACAGATGCTTTGGACTAGGTATAAAAGAGTAAGAGACATAAGTATGCCATGACCAAGTTTAAGAAACAAATCTTTTTTTAGGGAAGCATATGACTTTCCAGTATGGTTTTGAAAAACCTTAAAAGGAAGAGGAAATATGATTTTTTGCATTTATACCTTTTTAGACCCTTTTTCCTCAAAATTGTTATGATTTTTCATGCTGAGATGTTTCTTGTTCCTGACCAGTTATGTTACTCAATTGCCCTTTTTCAAGGCTACTTTTCAAAATGAACTTGTTTCAGTGCAGTGCAATAATTTTTAAGTTCTTTTGTATAAATGGCACTGAAGATACAAAGATTAAAAAATGACGATGTTGCCCTCAGAGAGCTTGTGTTCTCTGTGGCTAATACCCTTTTTTCAAAATATTCTCAAAAAGACCACAACTGGTTAAGGTGGTAATGTGATAGAACATTGAATTTTGTGTCCAGATATATGAACTTGAATACCGTGTCAACTGCATACATACCACTGAGTAATTTCATACCAATCACAGCCTTTCTAGGCTATAATTTTCTCACCTATGAAATGGGAAATTTGGATTAGATGATTTTTAAGGTTCACTGCAGAGCTAAATCCCATGAATGTTTTGACTCCAGGAAAGACAATAATATCTCTCTTTTTAAAAAAAAACTTTATAAAGTCCTTTTTTTCACAACCTGTAGTATAGTTATTACAAACTATCTTTATTTTGCAAATTGTAAAACTGAGGCATAGAGAAGTAAAGTCACTCACCTAGAGTCCCACAGCTAGTGAGTGCTGGAGCTAAGATTCAAACAGAAGTATTCTGTTTATTAAGATCAGTATTTTTTCCACTGTACCACATTGCATCAATGAGCTCAATGGTTTTGTAATTCAGTAATGTCATAGATGCTAAGGTAGGAACAGTGGCAAAATCAGGAGATATAAGTATGGTAATATGTTGTGCTAAGATACTTATAAAGCGAACTCAGTAATGCAAACTCTTTTAACTTGTTTTTTACAGAACATGGAGGTAGAAGCATTGATTTAGATGGTACTCTTGTATATGTACACAGGCATTGAATTTCATTTTTAGAATCATGGCAATAGCCATGTTTGGGAAATACGTGATTGGGTACACTTTCCTTTTGAAAGGCTTTTCTTAATTTTAGTGGAAGGCAAGGAGGAGCCAAGATACATCAGTTACATAAAACAAAAAGTAAAATCCTAAGGTGAACAGTAGTCCACATCATGTTTATCTGTCTAGTTTGGGTCCTATGGCATTTGCAATAAACTTAACATCTATTTCCAATTGCTGAGGAAGTTTAAAATTGAACAGAATTAGCTCGCCAGATCCTTAGATGAGAATGAATGTGTTTCATGGCCTTCATCTTGAAATAATTTTACCATTTTCATTGTGATGTGGGAAAGGTAATAGAAATCAAATTCCATTTTTCTGTTCTAAAATGAATCTGGAAGTTTTTTTCTATTACAAATTTATAGGTAATATTACTGAATATTAAGATAAACTGAGCAAGCTAAAAAAATTCTTCACAAAAACATAACAGTCTACCATCATCATTCTTTTTATCACCCTCTGTCCGTCCTGGAGTAACATATATAATAGGGATATATTAAATTAGCTTTCTTTTCTGTTTGCCTATTCAGTCATCATTCATATAGAATATATATCATAAGGAAAATTTATCATGTGGGTGGATGCTCTTTGCCCATTGAAAAATGCACTGAAAAACAGGGGAACCTTTTATCAGGTTTTCTGTTTTAACAAATATGTACCAAAAATAGGAACCCATTTTTTTTGGTAAATCTCAAAATGTTATTTTACTTAATACTTATCTATTTACTTATTATCTATAAGTAAATTATTACCTAGTTTTTTATTACTAACAATAGCCATAACATTATCTCCTGATTTTTTTCATTCCTACCTTAAGCTCCCTTGGCAATGTCTATTAATAATGAGAGATTAGAAGAATATCTTTTGACCTATAAATTAAGCTGAGTTTAGTAGCCACATCCCATTAATTTAGCAAGACCATGATGCCTTTGCTACATATTAAATTGTCTGAATTAACAGAAATGTATATATTAAATTTTTACTGATAGAATATATCATGTAATTCTGATGATCGATAATCTCTGTTATTTATTCTCTTGATTCTCTGAATAGCACTTGTTGGAACTTTGACAAAAGTTCAGAAATATATAATGGGCTAAAAACATCTATAGAAAACTACAAAGTTATTTTGTATTCCAATTGACATGATTACTGAAATTCTTTTTAAGACTAAACATTTAATCACTTTGTAAAATGTGTTTATCAAACTGAAAGCCTTCATTTTTTATCAAAGAAGAGTAAAGAGGTTTAAGTTCTTATGATTAGAATCCTACAAACAACTTTCCATTTGGAGTTGACCCAATCAAAATAAACAATACTACTTTATTTAAGAAAATGTTACCAAAATCATTCCACAGTATTATTAGTGAAAGAGAAGGAAAAATGAGAAAAAATAGGTTGAAATATAAATAGATAGAGCAATTTATTGGAGTGGGCCTGGAGTCAAAAAGGCCCAAGTTCAAATGCGGCCTTACACACTCACTAGCAGTGTGATCCCAGGCAAGTCACTTAACCTCTGTTTGCCTTAATCCACTGGAGAAGAAAATGGCAAACGATTCCAGTATCTTTGCCAAGAAAACCCCATGGACAATATAGGCCACAGGTTTACAAAGAGACTAAACAAAAACAAAGTCAACAGTCTTGAGATTCCAGTTACAGGCTTAATCAGGTCAGAGTCCTCCACTGTGTAGCAGACTAGTATTCTTTAATTATTAATGACACAATGAGAGGCAGTCTGTCATGGGTAATAGGGAATGAGAATGCAAGAAAATAAATTTTTGGTATGGGAGTTATAGTAAGGCAGAGTGGTATATAGTTCTCAAAATAGAAAAAAAACAGTATAATCAATGAAAATGATAAAGATCATAATAAAGTTTAGAATTGTAGTAGGTCATGGTAAACACAAAATCATTCCTGTGTTATTTGGATATCAGTACTACCTATCTTTTCAAAATTATGATACACAGCTTTCTTATATTTATCAATATAAATCCTAGCTATCCAGGAAAGCTTTAAACTTCCTTTAGAAATTTTAAATATAAGAATGCAAGCGTGGGAGGTCAGGGAGTAAGAATTAAAAGATACTCTAGTGTTTTCTTCTATCTTTGACTACATATATCCCATAGAGACAAGTCACTTAATTTACCATCTTCACTTATACTACTGGCAAAATGGAGATATATTTCTGCTTATCATATAAGAGAATTACAAGGATATGCAAAATGATTCTGCGTTTCTTAGAACAGGTACCAGTAAAAGTTGGCACGATAACAAAACATGATGCATTCTAAACCATAGCTTTAACTACTTTGTTATTAATAAGTATCTTCTGAATATTCTAACTAGAAAAAACAGAATCCAGCAATCATCAGGAAGAGCAACCAGCACCGAGGGAGTTGGAGTTGATAGATTCTGTAGTTGACCTGTTCTCTTAGGTCACAGTGGCTTCAAAAGTGATATTTTTCTCCTTATGAATTCTTCCTTCTCTACTTTTCCTGTGGCAAAGACATAGAGGAATATGTCTTCTGGAAAACTGGGAGACCACCAGAGTGGCTGAAAGTGGCTTTCCTTTAGGGAGCTGTGTTTCATCCTGACACTTTGGCCTTTCCACACTTATATTCTGATTATCTTTTCTGAAGGAAAAATTCAAGAGCTGTTAAAGCCAAAGTGTGAAAATGGTATACAGTTTTTCAAAGGGTAGGTAGAATACTGATGTAAGATTTTTCACAGAAATAGATAATGGTCTTGGAGATTTTATCTCCTTAGAAATCCTTATAAGGATCAGGAATCCTGACCAGCTAAACTGCCAGTGCAGAAAAACATCTTCGAATTGTTTGCTACAAACTAATGAAATATCAAAATTGTTTAAATAGAAACGGTATGCAATGTGTGATAGCCTTGCAGTTTTGTGACTTGTCAATCCAGTTTTAAATTTTACATTTTATTTGGTATATATTTAAGTGGAATTGTTTATTATTTATGCTCATATTACACAAGTTTATCAAGTTTGAACAGTCAGTGAAGCAAGTGAAGCAAGTGAAAAAAGTATTCTCTTAGCTTTAGTTTGTGTTGAGTGCTCACTGTTGTACCTGTTTGCTTGATTCTAATTTTATTCAGTGGCATTTCTCAGAAGAAAGCAAGGTACAAATGTTGCTCTTAATAACACTTGATAGTTAACATCATTGTTTATGAGATAAAAGCTATATTTAATGTTCCTTATATAACTGAATTCTTAGTTTCCTTAAGAACCTCTGCTGATGTGCATGAGAATACTGACTAGCATAGCATAATGGCATGTATACATTCCACATTGACTGCTAGAAGAGGACTGAAGAAAGTGCATGATTCAGGAGCCACGGAACCACCTCATTTCTTATGAAGTAGTGATGATGAATGGCCTTTTGGGGATGAATGTGCCGAATGAGCCTTTTGTGCCTTTATTCCATCTTTTGCGTCATGGATCAAATTCAGTAAGTTGGTAGGCATTGTTGCCTCAACCACAGCCCGGGATAAATTTCCTCTCAGTTCTGGTTGTACATACATCACCAGTTTGGAGTAGCCAGGGTTCCTATAAAGAAGGGAAGAAAAACAATAAAAGAATTCTTGTATTTACCTAATCTGTTTATTCTAAACATGCTTAAATATATAGTCAAAATTAATTATTGCTATAATTTCAATATGTAATTCTGTAATATTTGTCAAATGTAGTATTAGGCATTTTAAAAGTTTGGTGATATTTTAATATGTACAAGTTAAGAAATGAGAAGATATCTAATGTCTATAGTTCTAGGGGATTTTCTGACATTTATGGAGCTCCAGAATGACTATATTAGAGGAATGCTAGAAACAGACAAGGTATCTTTTCATTATTGCTAGAGCAAAGAATGTTACTTAGAATTCTAGAGCTTCAGGTTCTTACCCTAAAAAGCTTCACATTCCTTGCTTAAAAGTACAATTAACTATTGATCATTTGGATTGTGTATATATAACTTGAAAACTGACCCATCTGTAGTGCTAGGTGTTTAGTCTATAGCCTGTATTTCTTATGTGGAAATGGTTTGGGGGACACAGAATTTAGAGAACTAACTTTTTTAAAAGCATCTCCGCTCCTTTCCTATAGAATTTCTTGCTATCTAGATGTAATGTATCCACAGGAAGGTCCTAAGTTATAATATAATAACATAAAATAATAAAATTATTTTCAATCTTGTCTATTTAAGCCAGGGAAGCTTCTCTCCTCTTTGCAGTAGTAATGAGGACTTATTTGGGGGAAGAAATGCTTAGGGCACATAAAATGATAGTGCACAACTTTCTAATAAGGGCCTACTTTGTCTACCTCCACCCCAACTCTATATCGCATAGCAGAGTCCAGGCCATTTTCCCTGCCATAGAAAGATAAGTTGCTAATTCACAAATGTTTGTTCATATAATCAGGAAGACAGATCCATTGGGCAGGAAGTTAATAGCTGCTAGGAATAGCCATAATGAGCCCCAACCTGGGATTGCCTACAACACAACATAAAAATGTAGCGAGGTCACATGAGAGCCTTGTTTCCCATGCACAAGCCAATGCTGCAAGCAGTGTGGGTTTTGGGCACAGAGAAAGCTACCAAAGGACTGACTGATGTGGGCTGTATGCAACCAGGTCAGCAACTGTTGACAATGCTTCATTCTTCTTCTTTCTGGGTATACCAGAATCAGAGGTCCAAGATAACTGACAATGTTGCTTATCTAAACCAATGAACCTTTCAATTGGTGTAGATAATCAACAGAGCTAAATTACAGAAGAAAATGCATGGAGAAATGTGGTTTTGTAATTCAGCTTTATTTTGCCTTCCTTAGAATAAGTTGTCATTGTAAGGTATTACCATAAGTCCTTCATTGTAAGAAAACCTATTGGAATTCCTTTTTCAAATTTTACAGTATTTTAAGACTTTTTTTTGTCTGCAGAAAAATGATGTAAGATTCCAGGCACTATAAAGCTGATTGTGAATAAATCTAAGAGATTCATATCTAATAAGTAATTGAGCAGATTTTTTTTTCATATGCAGGTATCTCACTTGATAGAAATTAACTTTCTAGCATCCTCAGCTTAAGTAAATAATGAGTTATATCATATCTAATTTGATCTAAATCTAATTCACAGTATTCTGTGAAGGTGATTATATTGCCATTGTTTCTAGTATTGTACATAACTCTTAATTGTTTTTCCTGTAACTAATTTGAGAACAGTGTAGTACTAGTAGTGTTTTCTAAGTACTATAATTGTTTTTAATTTTTTAATTGAGGTTTTTTTAAGAATTGCTGTATTTCTGTGATGTTATTATATCCAGGCAGGTTTGTATAAGTTTGAATAAAACTGAAACAGGTAAAAATTTGGCCCTTTTCTTGGCATTCAGTTTCTTCGTGCCATCCTCCTGCTTCCTAGGTCACTATTATACCCTACTCAGGCCTACTTTACCTGAGGATTGCTTTGATCCAGGGTCTGGCCCTCTCCCATTTCTCCTATCAAGCTCATCCATTATATGCTTGCTTCTGCAGGGAGTTGCCCCCAGTTAGCTGTTAGATGGAAGTGATTTGATAAATTCATTAATGGTAAGGTGTTAATTCTTAAGACTTAATGCATTAGCTATCCATGGCTATTTGCATTCTTTTTAAAAAACAGGAACAATTATTTAATGACACAAAGGAATGAATCTCTAATAGAGAAACATATAACATTAGTTAAAGGCTAGTAGGGTAATATTTTTGTGAATAGAGAACTTTATAAGTAATTTTCTGGTCTACTTATGCTTAAGAATGACTTTAAACCTAGGAACCAAATTTTTTTCCAACAAAATGCATCTCCAGTTTTATAATTGAAGTCAATGGGTAAGATAGGATTTACTTAGCAGAATTTCATGGCAGATCTCACTAGAATGCATTTTTTCTATTTAGCAAGGAGTATCTGTACTTTGTATTTTATATTTTATAAATTGAACAACAGTTTTGCTTTTTAAAATGTGCATGTCAATTACTTACTCTGGCAGTGGTGAACATACGTAGCCACAAGGATTGTTATAACCACGGATATAACTTGAAGTTGGAGGACATTGTGGATACTCCACACTAACAGCTAAGTAGTTTAAAAAAGAAAGGTATTTTAATGAAACCTTTTCCACAAACATAGCAAATATATAATACAGCAATATATTCTCTAAAGAAAATACTTATGAAACAGCATTCAGTTTTACTTAATCTTTGTCAGCATTCATCTTTAGGGATATACATGGGTATGTATACTCTGGTCTCCAGACTATCTTTAATTTGACATTTCTTTTTTTTTTTTTTAGGCAATTGGGGTTAAGTGACTTGCCCGTAAGTGTCAAGTGTTTGGTCTGAGGCTGTATTTGAACTCAGGTCCTCCTGACTTCAGGGCCGGTGCTCTATCCACTGCGCCACCTAGCTGCCCCTTAATTTGACATTTCTAATGATTGTTTTTGTATCCTTAGGGGTAAAATTAAAAACTTTAAATGTCATTAAGAATCTGAGTTTATCTTATGTGAGATTCTTGAGGGCAACAAGTGGTTTTTCATTTTGTATCCCAAGGAACAAAGATCAGTTGGTTGACCTAATATTTAAAAGTTTTTTAGGTGATTCTTAGACAAACTAGTGAAGTTATATGAGGAAGAATCAATGAAATTTGATTAGCGCTGAACTCTTGATAATTCTGTCCAAAAATTATTTTTGCATTATAAACTAAACTCCATGGGTGCAAGAATGGTCTCATTTAAACTTTGCAAATCTTCTGGGGGACTAAAATTGTGATCTGCACAGACTTAGTAAATGTTTGCTGAATGAATGATTGCAGGTGTTCATTTTGTGTTGCTTTGAGTCTACTACTGTTGTCAAAGTACAGACGTGTCCTGTGTCCTAGATGGCCCAAAAATAACTCAGAATTTCAATCAAAATGTGTCTATTGAAAAAAATTAGTCAACAAAAGATAGAACAAAGGTCAATAGGAGACACAGACAAGCAGAACAACTTTGAAAATAAAATAAGAGATGCTTGTAATACAGAACTGCAGTCCCACGTACAAGCCATTTTTTCCTAATCTACTGTGTATATGGAAATGTTCACCTAATTTGGTGTTGGTCAGGTTCAGAATTTTTTAAAAAATCAGTCTAGACACTTACTAGCTGTGTGACCTTAGGCAAGTCATTTAATTTCTGGGCCTCAGTGTCCTCATTTGTAAATGGGATGGGATGGGATGAGTTCCTCTATAGTCCCTTCAGCTCTCAATCTCTGCTGCTGACCTCTGATTTTATTCTTTTCCTTGGCTTATCTTGAAAGAAGAGGTTTTATGTGATATATTCCATAAAGGAAAGGTTACGTATGATTACTCAATAAAAGTAGCAGAGAAGAAAAAAAAAAGTTTGCTACTATCTTAAGTTCCAGGCGAATTGACTACTCCTAGATGTTGACGTGATTGTAATGGGAATGGAAAAGCATTTATTATACCCTTATTGTGTGCTAAACACTTTGCTGAGCACTAAATGCTGAGGATGAAAAAAGACAGCCCTTGCTGTTAAGCATCAGGTTCCTTCCCCCATTCCACTTCATATCACAGTTATAGCAAAAAAAAAATACACTGACATCTTCCTAGACGTAGGCTGAAAGATAAAGGACATCTCTTCCAACAGACATACTGAAAAGCTAAAAAGAGAGCACTTGGGTAATTACTACTTCTTTCTGAGCTCTAGTTTTCTCATATGTAAAACTGAAAAGTAATACCAATGACTCCCACTTCACAGGGTAATTGTGAAAATCAAATGAGATAAAAACAAAATGCTATACAAATATAAGGTATTATATAATAAGTTTTCTAGATGTTAGGGTTTGCTTAGATTTTTAGTCTGAAAGTTGAATTTTAATAGAAATTGTTACTAGAGCTTAAATATCAGAGAGTAAAGCCTGTTTACATCTTTCGATTAACAGGCAGTTAACTCAAGAACAGACCACTATAGTAAAAGAGTTTAAAAAACAAACCAGCATATAAAAATGAGGAATCATAAAACACTAAAGGGCAACTGTTCTGATTATGGAAGAGAGTGCTTTCCCAAAGGATTGATTGCAGGCTGACTTAAAATACTAATTTCCCCTAATAGATTTGACATAGGTTATGAATGGCAAAAACGTGAGTTACACTCACAATTTCAAGTTGCATCTATTGTATCAAGCATCAAATGAGGTGCCTCTATGTTCAAACAAAGCACATAGGCTGTGTGGTGTTTTGGTGCATGCGGCAAGTAGTAGTAGGAATCAATCACTGGCCGAGTCTTGTAAATACAACTGGTCAGTTATATACTGTGCCCATCTTCCTTAACCTGCTTAAGGCCTCTCCATTCCCTCTCTCTCCTTATATTGGAGAGCAACTTAACCCCTGCCTGTATGTTGCTATCATTTGGACCTATCTGTACTAGAAAGACAAATATGTGACCATACAACGTGATGAGCCAAATCGACCAGATGACCTGTGTCTTGTCTCTGCCACTTAAAGAGCATGGACAAGAAACTTCACCTCTTAGCTTTAGTTTCCTTATCTGTAAAGTGGAGATAACACTACTCAATTCACAAGGTTGTGAGGAAAACATTTTGAAAACCATAAAATACTATATAAATATGAGATAGTATTAGTATTGAATGATAAGGGAACTTTGAACAATTATTTGGGGGGTGAGGATTAAGAAGTTTAATATCACGTACAACATGTATACATACTACCAGGGGTGGGGAACCCGTAGCTTCAAGGCCACGTGTAGCCCACTAGGTCTTCAAGTGCAGCCCTTTGCCTGAATCCAAAAAGGGATTTGTTCCATGAAGTTTGGATTCAGTCAAAGGGCTGCACTTGAGGAGTAGAGGGCTACGTGTGGCCTCAAGGCTGCCGTTTCCCACCCCTGTATAAAAACAGTTCTTAATTACAGTGGAACCGGGAGCTTATAAAATAACCAATCTGTGGAGGTGATCTGAGTTCTAACGCTGGAAGACATGAGTATAAAACAGAAGGATCCGTGTCTATTGGCCTTCGAGCATGTCTGTAGTTCACATTAGTGAATGGGAGAGGGAGGAGGAAGGGAAACATAGGAGCCAGCGAAACTCCCTCCAGAGTGGTGAGTCAGGGTCATTGCCAGGGAGAAGCCATTTACAGGAAGGGAGATGACGAAAGCCTAATCTAAGGGAATCTAGGGATAAGCAGAAGAAATTTCTCCAACAGCAGAACTAGCTGTGACAATGCTACTAAGGATATTTGCAGTGAGCTTTCCAAAAATGGTAACCCAAAGGGCAGATAAACTTGAGGGAGGCTCTCTTCCTGGAATAGTGGGTTTGGAAAGCAGCTAGAGTGTATAGTTTGACAGGAATGGCAAGTGTGCAAAGAGGAAGTTATGTGAAAACTGGAAAGGTAAGTTGGAGCCACATAGTAAGGGTCCTTAAATGTTTGGCCAATGAGTTTGTGGTTCTTCCTGGAGACAACTGGGGAATTGCTGAAGTTTTATGAGCAAGGGAGTGATATAGTCAGATCTGTACTTTAGGAAGAGTTTTGACAACTGTATAAAGGATGCATTGGAGAGGGGAGTGAGTGGGTAAAGGGAGACCAATGAGGCTATTGCAATAGTTTATTTATTGATGCCATTAGGAAAATAAAAGCCAAAAGCAAAGGTTTGAGAACTTAATAATTCTTGGTAGGCCCAAATAAAAAGAAAAACCAATAAATGACAATCTATACCAAAGTATAAACAAAATGTTTCAACTTACAGCTGACAATCACTTTCTCCCCTTCATAGTACTTGATGTGCACTAAGTCAACAAAGTCTCTGGGGGCAATTGAGCCCATGGCAAAACTATTTGTAATGGTGTGCAATATAAACGTGTCCTGTAACAAAAATAGATAAAAGTGATAGCTGTTACTGTAAAAACTAGTTGTGTGTTCCCACAATAACTTTATTCTCCAAAGTTAGTTTTTCTTTGAAAGAAAAATATGGCTTGTAAATTGCATAGGAAATTACCAAGTCATACAGAGCACTTGTCAAAGGGACCTTATTAGACCTATAGTTGTAAATATACAGAACCTTATTCTCTTCCTGCACACCGGAAGACTTCTTGGGGCTGGACCCCCCAATAAAAAAAATTTCCTTTTTTCTTCTATTCTCTGCTTCAGTCACGTAGGCTATTTGCTTCCCTGTCATTTGGTAGCCTAAACACAGGAGGTTTTGTCATATGTCCCTAAAAGACATAAGTCTCCAAGGAGAGAGATTAATGATTTGTATGGGTCCTGAAGCAACCACTGGCTTCAGCTCTGACATATCTTGTTTTGGTAGAGAAAATAGACACTAGTGGGGAAGTAGAATAATTCTCTTTCCTCTCCCCATGTAAAATTTGTGCAAAGTGTCAACACGAGGTTTTTATTTCTTTAGGAAAGCTAAGAGTCGGACCAACAAAGTTATCCTTTTTACTCCCTGTACTGAAGGGAACATTCTGCTTCCTTTTACCTACAAAGGAGTAACTAGTAAAAAAAATTAGTAGCAAAAAGGCAATATATGTCATTCCAAACTGAAGGACAGTTACAACTTTCTTTTAACCTCTTGTCCTCCTTTTCCCTTTTATGTCTCAAGTATGTAGTTAAAAGTCATTTTAAGAAAGTAAATTTAAGTACAGTATTTTAAAGACTAAAGCCCATTAATGTAGAAATTAAATTGATAATGGGACTCCATAAAGTGCTTATGAATACTGTGAACAAGAGAACCATACATACAATTTTGTGCTGTGTTTCAAATGGAGGAGAGGGGGAATCTTCCTCAAATTTGGTACTGGGATCCTCAAGGACTAGAGAAGTCCTAAGGGGTCTAGGGAAATTAGGATATTTTGTTAGTGGTGGTAAGGAAGTACAAGGTATATAAGCAGGTTGACCTCTATCATCATTTCTCTCTTCTTCCAGTTATATAACTCTAAAGTAGTTTCATTATAGTGGCAAGCATGGCAAAATTAAATTTTCTGAGGCGGGAGAAATATGGGGTATAGAGGGTCAATGGAGTGAAAAAAAATTGTTATGGAAACAATTTGCAAATAGTGTGAACAATTTGCTGGGCTTCCAAAAATTCTATTTGACACCACTCACATTTAACAGTGTTGTTCCTATTAAGTATGGCTATATCACTGGATTAAAAGACCATAGGTCTGTAGGAATTACCATCAGGATTCTCCCAGAAACACAAATTTTTACCAAACACTACCATCCACAACATAAACATACAAAACAGGCAAAAAGGTAAGTAAGGCAAAATAATTTAGAGGAGTAAGCCCAGCTTGCTTTCCTCTTAATACCACAGGCATAAGGGCTTACTTCTACAGCTGCTTTAATGAGCAGTTAAAGATATATAGAATCTTCCTCCAAAGTTCAGTGTCCCTTTTCCCATTCCTATGGTCATACACCACTTTGCCTGACTTTTTATTGTCCCCCTATCCCTCCACTTCCCCCTTTCCTGATCCATATGCAACAGATAACTGCTATTTTCTCCTGCTATCATTTCTTACTCCTTGCTATTTTTCTCCTTATCTCTGTCCTGCTTTCTACTCAAACTTCTCCTTCTCTCTTTTTCTTCCCATCTCTCTCTCTTCTATTCCTTGTTCAGATTTCACTTTCCTTTTTTCACTATGCATAATAAATGTGCTTGAGTATCCACTGCCATCTGGCAATGCCATTTTACATGTACAATGATGATTCTATGGACCCACCATCAGGAGAAACATGCTATGAGTTATTTTGGAAGAAGTTTGGGGTGGATTTGCACTGATATTCACTCTTCATTCCCCTTGTGATGAAAGGCACACAACTGCAAGATGGCTGGGCAAAGTTAAGGGCTAAGACAGTAGCTAGGGAATGAAACAAAGATAAATGAACTACTTAGAGAAAGAATCCCTGACCTTGGCCTTTTTTTAGCAACATACTCAGTTGTTATTTAGTGATAGGGATCAAAACTATTATGTTACAAAAATGGAACCTTCAAGATTTTTATATATAAAAAAGTTACATCAGTTTGAATTCTTTAAATAGTATATGTGCACATAATAAAGTCAAGTTCAAAATAAAATCAAATCTCACATAGTTAATCACGCAATTGAAATACCAAATATTTAAACTATGCAGTAAAAGTTCTACATGAAACAGTGAATTACCGAATCAATCCTGTGTAACATTCTGTATGTATGCAATGATCTATCCCACTTGCTCCTGTGTTCAGGAAGGTACATAAACTGAATGAGTTTAGCTGGAGTCTCTGGTATTATTCCTTCTGCCCGGTATCTATAGTTAGTAAAGGAAAAAAAAGCCACCTAAAAGTTAAAAACAAGCCATGGTTTAAAGCTATAGAATCAACTTTACTAACTTTCAAAAGCAGCAATTGGTTCCTCATAGCAGCTCACCATAAAACAATGAAAAGGTGCAGATGTGACATACATTTGGCAAATATATACAATTAAAAGCCAATTTTATTTTAGTTTTCTTTACAAAATGTTAATTATCTTAAAATACACTCTCTATGTAACTATTATACTGACTAGTAATGAGTGTCTACAGCTACCTTTTTAAAAGGAATGTTTTCAATGTGAATGGTTTATCTGCATCAGTGAAGAGAGCTCTCAAATCAATGAGATCACAGTTCCATTTGAAAAGATCCAGTTTCAGTTTACCTAAAATATATCAAAATGATTCAAGTCCACTTTTAATCATTTTATCCTTCTCAAGACATAAATGAATCAGTGGGAGACTTATGTGGATAAACAGCATATTGTATGGCCCTAATTTTTAATTAAAGGATGCAATGTGTTTTAAGTGGAAAAAGCATTTATTTGTACTGAATTGGAAACCCAAATTTTAGTCCAAGTTCTAGGACTGGGTTACTATATGTCCTTGTGCACATTACTTAACATGGAGGCTCTAGTTGTCCATCTATAAAATAAGGACGTTGTAAGGAAAGTGTGATTATGCTTATCACAAACAAGATACTTAGATGAAAGTCTGACAACCTATTTCTTGAAAATTTAAGTGCATGTGGGGAGAATGTAGAAAAAGGTTTTGTTTTTGTTCTTGTTTTTTAATGGGAGAAAATGAAACAGTGGGTACCATGGCATGGTAGAAAGCCTGAACTTGGCAGTTCAAATCCTGGCTCTTATTAGCTATAGGACCTTTTGAAATCATTTAATCTCTTGGGTTCAGTTTATTCAGCTGAAAAATAGGGATGGCGATACTTTGATTCACTATCTCGAAGGCTTGTGGAATGACCAAATTAGGTACATTCAATCATTTAGATTCATCATCAAGCAAATAAATGTTTCCAAACTGCTGCTTTTTTTGAAGTTTTAATCTGTGTCCAAGTTCTTTAACCAATAGCTCATCCTAGTGAATTTTCAACTTTATTGTTGGCTCTTTGTGGTCCTATAGAATCCAGGCTAAAAATTGGATGATCCATGTATAGTCTGCCATTATCATCACATGGCCCTCTTCAGATTGCCTCTGGCATTAGAGAGGCCACATGGTATAGTGAAAAGATAGGTTCAAATTTCTGGTCTGCCATTTATGTCATGTGATCTTGGTCAAGTAACTTCTTTGGGTCTTTTTTTTATCTGAAAAATGGGAATAATGTTTTCATTACTTCATAGATTTTTTGAAGAAAATACTTTGTAAAGTATTACATAAATATGAGCTGTTATCATATCTGAGGCAGCTAGATGGCACAGTGGATGGAATGATAGACCTGGAGTCAGGAAGACCTGATTTCAAATTTGGTTTCAGACTAGCTATATGACCTTGGGCAAGTCACTTAACCTCTGTTTGCTTCAGTTTCTTCAATTGTAAAATGGAATAATAACAGCACCTACCTCCCAGGGTTGTTATGAGGATCAATATAATAGTTTGTAAAGTGCTTAGTACAGTGCCTGGCACACAGTAGGTACTCTATAAGTGTATATTCCTTTTTCCTCCTTGTGCCTTAGCTATGGATGCAAAACTTCATTTGTCATGTGATTATATAGGAAGGTTCTACATTTGGTTCTTTTCATTGTAGGTTGGTTGATGGCAAGTTTATGCTTTTTGTACTTTATTATGAATTAGCATTCGATTTGTAGCTTATTTTGAACAGCACTACAGAATTAAACATTTGGGTGATGATTTTCATGGGCAGTATTGTAAGGTTTTAGCCAAAACTAATATAGCTGACTTTGCCTCTTCTGGTCCATTCTCTGTCCATGCTGTTAATGTTGGTGAATGAGTTAGGTAGCTGGCAGTACTTTCTCAAACCACAAGTCATCTCTAGGCCAATCAGCCTCCACAAGCCACAGTAGTTGCTGAGGCTTTTGTGGAGCATCAAGATGACATGTGCCACAAAACAATCACACTCAAAAGGCAAGTGGAAGTGTTTTCATTGATCCTGATTCTGAGTTTTCAAGTCAAGATGATAGAACAGCATTTTCTCACTAGCAGCATATAGTTTCAGAAACATTGCATCTCTTTGCCAAATTCCTTTGTGAATACTGACTTGCCATGTGTCTGCAAACAGTTTGGATTTTATTGAGAATTCAGTATTAATTTTCTCAAGAATTTCAACATAAACTGTGTTTGTTTGAGTATTATGTATTGTATTCAGTACTACTATTGTTTCTACCAACTCATACACCCTTTTGCAATTCTTGCTTGCATTGCATGCTGGAAGCCAGTATTTTGCATTTTCCTTTAAGTTTTATCTGCAAAGGTTAAAAACTGATATGAATTTGCATCAAAAATTGGTGGAGTTCTTTCCAGAGCAGGAATATACACATGAAGAGCTTATAAATTTGCAAAAAAAAAAAAAAGTGATAGGATGGCATTTGTCAAAATAGCATGGTTACTGAAGGATCACTGGATATGGAGTCTAAACATCCACACTGAAATCCTCTCTCTGTTGCTGTGGTCTTGTACAAATTACTTAACTTCTCTAGGTCTCGGTTTCTTGATCTGTAAGATGACAGAAGTTTAACCAAATGATTTCAGTGTTCCCCTCTAGGTCTAAATATATTATCCTGTGATTTTTTTTTTTGATAACCTTTGTTCAAAAGTGAAAAAATTGCTCACATTTTCCACACCTGAAGAACCTGACCAATTAACAACATAACATTTGAATTTCTCTAGTGTCTCCTACAATGTACCTTTACCAGTGTAAAGGTCCTTGGGACAAGGTGTGTCATTTCAGGAGCTGTTACAAGTTATCTCTATTTAAGTGTTGCTACTGCTTTATTCTACCCAGCATGCAGAATGTCTTTTTAGTCAACACATGGTGTTGGATGTCTTACAGTAAGGAATGAGAGAAGTGTAAAGACAATTGTAAAATTATTTGCAGGCAATGTTCATTTCTTGGCAATATGTGGAATGCTTACTATTTTGGCCCTTTACTATGAATAACAGTCTGTTTCAGCTAATCATTCCTTTCTACCTTTTTCAGACTGTATCTTTTTTGAAAGGAAGTTCTCTGAATTTTTCATAATGCTTAAAGAGACTTACCTGATTTCTTAACACAGCCTTTTGTAATCTCTCCTAACTCTTATCCGCCTCAAAGTATTCTTTTTTTCCACCTTGTTTTCTTTTTATTTTGAAAATGTTTTTGATGCTTTCTTTTTTTATATACAATTACTTCACAATAAACTTCCCTGCCAACAGGCAACAATCATGCTTTATAGCAAATATAACACTATGTTTCCATGGACTACCACCTCTCTTACTAAGAAGGAAGTATGTGTCATCATCAGCCCTTTAACTAGTAATTGGTCATCTGATTTTTTTTTTTTCGGAGACTGGCTGTCCATATTTCTCCCAGACTAGAAGTCCAATAGCAAGGGAGCTTTGACCTGTTCCATTTCCAACATGGGCCAGTTCTCCCCTCCATAGTCAGTCAGGAGGCTTACCATATTGGTGTCAGACGTATTGCAGTCAACAAATCAGTTTAGCTTTCTGTAGCTCAAAACTTCCAAGCTCAAGAGATCACTAGCTAGCTCCAGTCTTCCCCAGTATCAGGGATTAAGGGAGTAAGCCACCACACCTGGCTGTATCTAATTTCTGTTGCTTTTTAGTGCACTGTTCATTTATGTTATTGTAGTCATAGTAAATGTTGTGTACTTTGCTTTGTTCACGTGGTCCTATATCAGTTCAAACAAGTCGTCTAATGTTTTCTTTGAAATAATTCACATATGTTGCTGCTTATGGCATAAGTGGATTATGCTCACATACCACAATTTGGTCAACCATTGTATAATCTATAGGCATTTTATTTTCACTTTTTTGTTACTACAAAAAGTGCTGCTCTAGACATCCTGATATATATGGTACCTTTTTTTCAGTTATTAACCTCCTCAGGGTATATGTTTGTAGCAAGATTGATGGGTCAAAACATATGTACAATTTAGAAACTTTTCTCAATTCTAGATTGTTTTCTAGCTCCAACTCTGATTATTTTTATCCTTTATCATCATTATCAATTTGAGAATTGTGGGAGTAATACCTGAAAGTTCTTTTAATTTGTATTTTGCTCAAGAATAGGTTATGTGATGCATTTTTCACATAGTTGATTGCATTTCTTCTTCTGAAAGCTGTAATAGCTCTTAATCTCATGCTTGTTTAAATCCTCTTTCTTAAATCTCAAACTGTTATCAGAAATGTTTAATGCAAAGATTTTTCTCAGAATAAGTTTCATTTCTTCTACCTATATTGATTTTGTTTGTGAAAAGGCTTTTTAACTTTATGTAATCAAAATTGTCTCCTTTGTGATATCCACTACCTGTTGATTAGCTATGAATTCTTTCCCTAATCATAATTATATATGGTATCACTATCCATTTACTGCTTTCTTTCCCTCTTCCTTTCTCTCTTCTTCCCTCTCTTCCAGCTTGCCTGCCTTGTGTGCGATCTTTTTCATTTTGGATGTTTATCAATTTGGAGTTATTTGTGGTATGCGGTGTGAAATGCCAGGTTCAATCTATTTTCTGCCAAACTGTCTTATAGTTTTCCCAGCAGTTCTTATTAAATAAGGAGTCTTCCCCCCAAGTGCTTGGACTTTCAATCTAATACGCTAACATGTTTGTCTCTATTTCTTATCTGTTCCATTGATCTAATTTTATATTTAACTGATATGAAATAGTTTTGATGATTATTACTCTTTATTCTGAGATCTGATGATGACAGGCTGAAACAAGTAATTATCCAGCTATCTGATATCCTGTTTTCTAAACCTTGGCCCTACAACTTTGCTACCAAGGGAAGATTAGATTTGTGATCTCTAT